CTGAAGCACATCAATATAATGAATAAAAAAATAGTGCCAACTGAAGAAAGAAATCTGCTATCTAAGAAAATAATTGCATAATAACATAACATAAACTCCTCGTTCAAGTAGTACTTGCACTTAAACTATTATAGTAATATATTTGCCGCCGAAGACTGCCTTGTGCAGACCGAAAACCAAGACGAATATCAAATTTCGTTTATTTTATATTTTGCAATTACCGAAATGAAACAAAGATGCTGGCTGTGGACGACGGATAATATTGTTTGCCCAACGCATTTTCACATGCCGACGCCGCAAAAGGGAAGGCGAAGTCGGGGTAAAAAGCCGAAAATAGATGAATAAATAAGAAAGAAGCACGAAAACATTCAGAAGTATTTGCGGTTTGTAAGCGAGTAGAGCCCCATCTCCCTCGCACCTGTGGCGCTAAGCCCCCGAATAACAGGAGCTCCATTCGGAATTGTTGTAATTTGGAGAGACGGGACCCGAAAGAGCCCAACAACGAAGCTCTTTGTGAGCGAAACTAATAAAAAACCGATCGTTCCGACTGTTCCCACAACCAGTTTCAAGCGAGCCTCCGAGCGGTAGAGTCGTCGCCGTCCCACATATAACACCATAGTATCATAGTTCCCCGATCCACGCACTCCCTGTAAGGCGAGCTCCAAAGCGAGGCTCAAGTCCATGAGACTCCCCTCAAGTGAACCGGTTATATATAATTATACCCAAGAATTATTCCGATAGTACAGTGATAACTCCGCGAAGGATACTGCTGCCTTGGCAAATGTGACGTAACTGAACGTAGCAAATGCTAAAAGCAAGACGGCAAAAAAAGTTGTTTGCCATGGGAGAACTGCAATTGACAATGACAGCAACAACAATCGAATAAAAACTCAATAACAATTATCAACTGCGAGTGACGCTCAAAACAAATGCCCGAAACCTGTATTAAAAAAGTTTCATCAAATTCGAGAGCAAATATTAACGAATATTGCATAAAGTGCTATACACTCGTGCGTATGTAAGCTGTGCACGCTCTTTCGATCTGAATGAAGTAAAAACAAGCCGCCAAGAGACACCAAGAGTTTTAGAAAATCTTCTGAATAATATTTAGTTATATCAAGGGACACGAAGCTTAAAACAAGTGCATAAAAACGTCCAAGCAAAAATGAATCAACGATTTTCGCCAAAAAATTCTTTTTACATGAAAGTGAATTCATAAACACTTCTACTTCTTGCCACAAAAATGTTAATTAAGCAGGTTTAAAAAATTTTCTTCTCTTTTATAGCCACTTCCCAAGTTTCTGTGCATTCAAGTGCAACTACAAATTGTAGCTGTTTCTTTTGTTTTGGCTTGTTTTGCTTTGTGTTTTGCAAAACAACAATTTGAAGGCAATTTACATACACGAAGCTGAGAAAGAAACCGCCAAAATTGGTTACCTAACGAAAACTTCGTTTGTGCTACGGGACGGCAAACTTGTAAGTGAATTACTTATTAGATAATATTTAATTTGTTTTAAGATATAGTGAGCTACATAGTTACAAGCAGAGGTCCTTCAATTTGCACCATTTCCCAATTTCTATTGGTACATGCGATTCAAGTTTCGAGTGCACATAATAGGTATTTCATATTTACAACAACGACTAATTCCATACCATTACCTACCAATAATGATAGCATACGAGTCGAGTATTAAACCTAAATGACCTAGTAAAACTGTTCCTATACAAGTTGACTCCAAAAAGTTCCAGAAGCAGCATAAAGTGTAAATACATTTTATTCACAGCAAGTTTTCCAAGTTTTCCATGAGTGACAGGACTTGGAATCTGCGTTTTAACTGATCCATTACCATGTGTAGCACGTACAGCCGAACAATTACCATAAACCTAATTGGTTTCAGCTTACAAGCAGCAGATATAGTGATTCATTATTAATGGCGACTTTAGGATGACTTACTGGCATCTCGGGCACGATTCGCGCAACATGATAACGCCGAATGAAAAATAGTGAATATTCTTTAGACAGTGTGAGAACATTTTTAATAGCACCGCCAATTACCTGGCGAACTCGACTGCGGCTCAACACATTTGAATTGGGGGAATAATGCTCGAAATGAGATGTCGTTTGCCAGCTAGTTGGCAGTGGGAGGGGCTGGTACCCCACTCAGCCTGCTCAGCCTGCAATTACTTTTAATTAGCATTTAGAACATCGCACTGCGCCAAGATGATTCAGTGGCGGGGCGGCACTCGTTGGTAAGCCACTACAATTAGCTGACAAATTTCGGGGCAGGCTATTACTTTGATTTATTTGTTTTGCTTGCTGCGCAGCGGACCCTTCAAGTGGGCCTAATGCGACGTTGGTAAGCAAAGTATCGCATTTAGAGCCGCAGCTGACAAAATCCAACAATACGTTGGCTGCCACCGCCGATAATGAGCGCTTGTCTAGGCGCAGTGCGTTGGCTGCGCAGTCGCAGTGCCAGAAAGTGGGTCATGGTTAAGTGTACTTCGGTTCGGACCCGGCTTAGAAACAGCGAACAGTCGGCCGAAACCACGCTGCGCATGCGCACCACTCTCCAAGCCGAACACCATTGGAGTCGATCATGGGAAATTGGGGCTATTCCTCGGAAGAATTCCCATTGCAATAGATAAGGAGCCTTACTAACTTGGTTTAATCATGATACATAGGGCTGAGTGCGTAAAATCGTTAGGGACGCGTTCGAATTCAAACAACTTTAGCCTTAGTTTTATGAATGAAGTAGCTAACAGTTACGTAGAATGAAGTAGTAGTTAAGTTAGCCTTAGTTTTATGAATGAAGTAGCTAGCAGTTACGTAGAATGAAGTAGTAGTTAAGTTTACGACGTACATTATGTAAAATTATTATTGTCTGCCTTTGCCGTATAGAGTTGAAACGCCATCAAGAACCTCTGCATCTAATCCTACCCCAAATTCCCCGCATTATCCTCCTTGCATCATCATCCTCCTGCGGCTCTTCACCTGTAAGCAAAAGTAAACGATGTGACACTTATTTAGCCAACTGAACTGGTTAATTGAAATGTATTATCCTTTAAAAGGAAGACGATATGGGCTTCAGTTCGCGAATGGACTGCTGCGGGCAGTTCGTGAAGTACAGTCTTTTCATAGCCAATTTTGTGATATTCGTGAGTATCCAGTGTTGCTTAAGTCAGAAATAAATAATACATATTTTTTATGCATATATTCCAGGTGGGTGGAGCCATTGTGTTTTGTCTCACCCTGTGGACTCTGGTGGATCGCAGTTTCGTCAATGAGTTGCTCGGCACAAATCTTTTCTCAGGAGCTGTCTACGTCCTGCTGGTTACATCGATTATCATTTGCCTGGTGTCCTTTTTGGGTTGCGTTGGTGCTGGAAAAGAAGTCAAATGCCTGCTCCTAACAGTAAGTAACGAAGGTTGAACGATTCTAGCCATTTTGGTGCTCAATAAATATGAAAATGTTTATGGAGTAATGATATTTGGATTGATATACCTACAAGTAGCAACCCATCTGAAAAATGAATCTGCTAAATGTTCCCAAAATTACAAAGGGAAATTTTTGTCAATCTCTTCTTCATTACCATGATGCAAGCCCCACTTAGCTTCCATATTGACCAGTCGTTTTCCCCTTTTAGTATTTCATAATAGTGGCCCTAGTTTTCGTCACCATGCTAATTGGCGGTGTCTTGGGTTACGTGTTTCGCGAACGAGTTCAGCAGACCATGCGGCAGGTGAGGCAAATCCATCTATAGCAACACATGGGTGTGGGTGGCACACTAAGCCTAATCAATATTCCATAGGAAATGCGATCCACGATGGCTCTGTACGGAAGCAGGAGGGAGATCACCCAGGCCTGGGACTTGACCCAGGAGCGACTGCAGTGCTGCGGAGTGGACACGTGGCACGACTGGAATAGGTACGGCCCAGTGCCCGAGTCCTGCTGCCAGGAGCTTTTCGGTGGCCAGCGCAAGGAGTGCACCATCTTCCCGACCATTACGAATCTGTACAACCAGGGCTGCCTCTATGTGACGACCAACTTCATCAGGGATCACGCGGCGGTCATTGGAGGTGCATCCATATCGGTGGCCATACTGATGGTGAGTGCAATTTTAGAAATCATTGCATGTTGTAACAAAATGAATGTATCTACCTCATTTTGATTTGTTTCCTATCGCTAGATCTTTGGCATGATATTCTCCTGTCTACTATTCAATATGATCGAATAGCGCCAAAGAGCAGGGAAATCCCATGGTCACGCAGGAAAATCAGATACCAAGGTCCACAGTCCGGAAGAAACCCATTTTTGAACGTACTTCGCTGGAGTTATGTTAAGAGTATTATCCGAGTGTATGATAATTTTAGATCTGCACAGGTCAACTGTCCGTTTGTATATACGCGTTTAGATACGCATGACTAGTGAGTATTGAACTTGGTAGCGATTGCATTGTTATCATCTGTTGCATAAAAGTGTATTATTTTTATGAAGTTTTGTAAATTTAGTCCTAAGCCCCCGTTATCAGTAATCCATTACTGTTGCTAGTTCTAGGCGCGCTTTTCTATTCTTTATAGAGAATTTATATGTCTGTCCATTGTTGTTTCTAATAAAATTAGTTAAAACCAAACATTTCGGATAACTTTTTCGCTTAATATTTGTAACCCATTTAAAAAGCACAAGCCAATTGAAAATAATTAAAAATTTCTGAATGTACTTCTTGAACAAGTCGTGCTTAAAATGTACGAGGAAAAAAAATTCAAATTAGTAAAAATTTTACTTTTAAAAAGTTTTTGCGGGGAGCTTCAATCTATTGTTGAATATTTATATTAAAGAGGGTATTAGGGGTGTTTGCGTTTCAAGCTCAAGTTGTTTAGGATGTCTTGTTAATAGATGCCTCACAAATTGGACTAATCTAACCAACTTTTTAAAAACCAGTTGGACTATTAACCTTTAAACCAAAAATGGCGCAATGACAAAGTTACAAGCAATTATTTTATTTAATCTACTTCTTTTAAAAATTATTCTAGTAAGAGCTTACCACTACAACCAATTTCGGTGTACTATGCCTATAATACTGCCCATAACAAGCCATAAATTGATGGAAAATGTGGCGGAACTTGAACTTGGCGTATTATTCCACCACTCCCAATTTCCGTTGTGGTAAGCCGGGTTAGCTCGTGAATCGGAATGGGCAACTCGGGCGCTGGAAATCGCAGTCTTCCGAATTAGTACCACCTCATCGGCAAGTTGCTGCAGTTGGAGTGGATAAGTTCGGGCTAGGTTGTATCGCTCGCAGGGATCGTTGGCCAGATCGAAAAAGCAGGGGGCTTTCAGGGGCTCACATTTGAAATGGGGCTCTAGAGGATTTTGCCCTTCGACAGGGGGGCACAATTCGGTGGCTTCGCTGCGCATCTGTCGGATGCGGTCCTCTGTTAGCCCCCGATTCCCCAGTATGCTTTGAACATCCGATGCCAGGACATGCTGTTCGTAGCTTTCACTCAGAGGATCGTCCGCGCTAGTTTCCAGTTCACCCAACCACTGGTCGTATCTTCCTTGGAAACTGCTCCCGTTCACATACTTAAGAGTATCCTTCATGTACGATGAGTAGCCGAAGACCTCATCGAGCACATGAATCATCGTTCTCGGTTTCGGTTGCTCGTTGCCACTCAGCAAAGGCCAGAGATTGATCCCGTCCAACGGAAGATCCTGCGGCAAGGATACCCCGGCAGCTCCTGCCAGTGTGGGCAGCCAGTCTATGGCGTGTATCGCCTGGTTGGACACATATCCTCTCTCCTTCAGTAGCGGACTCCACAGTGCACCAGCCGATCGAATGCCGCCCTCCCAAGGAGATTCCTTTTGCTGCAGGTAAAATAAGTGCATGTGTCAGTTCCATGGCTTTCAATATATTCGCGCAACACTTACTCCTCGATAAGGATAGTTAGAGCCCGCATTGGAATGGATGCCGATCGTGGGCGCTCCGTTGTCCGAGTAAAGCAGAATAATGCTGTTGTTCAGCATGCCATTATCCTTCAAAGCACCAACTGTCTGAGCAACGCTCTTGTCCAGACTGGAAATCATACCTGTATTCAAAAACAGTAGCCAGTTTACAATGCTGATTTGTTACACGTGTTGTATTCACTCGCCAGCGTAAGTGCGTCGCTTTGGATCCCGGATGTGGGGAAACTTGGCCACCTCCTCCTCAGGAGCCTGCATCGGACTATCCTCGTTGCCTGTGTGCACCGCCAGATGGCTCATCACCATGAACAACGGCTTGCTCTTATCATGCTGCTCAATTATCCTTTTTGCCTCCGCAGTGAAGGCTTCCGTGGCATAGGTGCCATTTGCTTCGGGACAGGGCTCCAGATCCCGCCGGAAGTCCAGTCCAGCCGAGTAGTTCCTGTCGAGCATTCGCACCTGATGGTCGTAGTAGTCAATGTACCCATTGTAGTAGCCGAAGTGATGGTCGAATCCTCGCCTTGTGGGCGTGAGATCCTTGTGCCAGAAGCCCAGGTGCCACTTGCCCACCAAATGTGTCGAGTAGCCCGCCTCCCGGAAGATTTCGGGCATTAGACGCTCTCGCTGGGGCAGACCCCACGGTTCATCGGTGATAATCACAAAGTGCTGCATTCCTGCAAGTATTTGTACTTCGAGTCGAATGGTTTTTGATTTGTTAGTTGTACATCACCTGTGTGGATGGGATATTTTCCAGTGAGCAGTGTAGCTCTGGATGGAGTGCAGAGGTTAGGGACATAATGCTTATTCAGCAGGATGCCATTGTAGGCCAGAGCATCTATATTCGGTGTAAGGATTTGGTTCGAGCCATGAAAACTCACGTCGTTCATGCCCTAGAATTGGAATGGCAATTAGTTGCTTTTCACAACTCATACAAAATTCCAACCTACCATGTCATCTATCAGTATTATAACTATGTTTGGTTTGGTGGAATATGCAGATCCAACTGCCAGGCTGACTATGGCACTCACTACCAGCAGAATGTGGAATTTTCCAGTTGTCATTGTGAATACTCCGAGGGTATCAATGTCTATGCTTTAGAAACTAAAGTAATTAGAAATAAGAAAATTCCTATAATTGACAAAATGCTTAAGATTTTGTTTTAATAATCGAATTCAGTCATTCTACGTTTCAGCCTTATTATCTTAAAACCAATTTTTGATATCTATCCTAACTGAATATACGATTTTGATAGTATTCTGTATACGAGTATGTTTCATTTTAGTAAATAGTCAATGCAAAGGATTGAGATAGGTCTTTTAAATCTCTTACTTTGCACACACACTAAAGTTTTGCAGTATGGGAAAATTCATAATATTGCACAGTATTGCACAGGCAGTATCTGTTGAATTTTCCGCGCCATAACTGGAAATTGTATAATCAGCCGTTTTCCAAACTTCTTCCCTCCTGACCTATTCCATTGCATATTGCCATATGGCCAAAAAGTTCATTCAACCATTCCAGCGACTGATGTCGTTTTACTTTGGTGGCTTTAGCAACAATTGTTGGGACATTATAATAATAATATAAAACGAGAAACACTTGCCACTTAGGCTTACCCTCCGGGAGGAGTGTAACTTCTTTTTATCATGGCCAAAACTGTTAATTGTCGCAATAGGCCATAAAATAGCTGGCATCGTGAAAGCGAGTCAGATAAGCGAGACAAACCATACAATCTATAAAAGCTGTGCAATTGTTTTAGCATTTTGGCCGAGTTTTATTAATGCCACATAATTTGGATATATACAGGAAAGTCGTGCGCATGAGATGGGAGTTTTTGTCACGACATGTGGATTGCGATTGAGAATGGAAAAGCCCGGCGGATTGGCGATGACCTTCGCAGGTTGTTTTTATCGTGACCTTGACAAACGCATGTGTATAAATAATATCATGTTAATCGGTCGTTATGGGAAAGGTTCTAAAAATTAAAGACGCCACCACTGCTGCTGACTGATCCGATCAGAACAAGTTTTTTTTAATGGAAAAATTTTCCCCTTTGGAACTTCAAGGACGTTGTCGATCTTTTATGCAAACCAGTTAAAGTTTTTTTGGTTAAAGTTATTGCCAAACACATTTTCCCTTAGCCAATTACAATGTTACCTGCAGTTGTTGACGAGTTCATGAAAAATTGTGAAACGCTACACTTTGCTTAAATCGTTTTCGAAGAAAAAACTGTAAAAACCAAGATGAATCAAAACGATGGTCAATCAAATTATTTAATCTAACGCCCCTTATAGGCGCTTTAGGAAAGTGGTTCTTAATTTTATTGAACCTCTTAAGTAGCCATTAGGTAATTTGTTTTTTCGAGTGCTTTTCATTTCACTTAAAAACTAGCTTTTTATAATGACTTCATTAAGCAATTTAGATAGAGATGTGTTTACCATATTAAACAAAACTGGTTCAGAGCTCAATGCTAACTGAAATTTGAATATGTATAAATAGTTGATGCTTTGTAATGACAAAATAACTTTTATAAATATTATTAGTTACTATTAACGGGATTCAATTTTAAGTACGAACCTAAGGAGTTCTTGACAATTTCACTTGAACCTCTTTGCGCACATGAGCTTTATTTAAAACTGCATAAATCACTGCATTGGTGTGATCACTTTTTTCATTTTTTCCTATTACTTTGCGAACATAGTACAAATATCTTAAACACTACGGTTTTCCTACTGAACCTACTGGTGCAGCGATGAAAACTGATCGTCGACGATCCTTCTCCCAGCGACTTCTCCACTCGACTAAACGCTTCGCTGGATTTTGGCGCTTTTAAAGTGACAACGTTTTCGCCTACTCCGACGACTGTGACGTCACGGAGCGTGCGCGAAAAATAGTAGTAAAAGTTATAGCTTACTGCTATAAAACAGCAACAGAAATAGTTGTGCAAAAGCAAAACCTACTGCCATCAAAAGCAAAAGCAAAGTGTGCCTTTGCAAAGGCACAAATCAAAGTTTAACGAACTTTTGAGTGGATCCGGTAGGATTGCGAAATAAAATGTAAGCGAGGTTTTGCTCTTTACTTATATGGTTGACTTAGGTCAGGGTTCTTGTAGCTCGTTCTTTGACAAAATGACAAAGCCACAAACTAGTTTGAATAGCTCCAATTAAGTTGATTAGTATTCCAATATGGCCTTGCCCATATGCGTGCCAAGCTTGGAAGGTTGGCCAATTCACATAATATTATAACATTAGAACTCGCTAAATAAAAAACCACTCTTTATTTTCCGAAAAAGATGATGTGATTTGGTCTATTTGCAAAGGGTAGTACTATATAGCGGGGTTCCCATTTTCCACAATAAGTCATACGGCTATTTTAAGGGGATTTTTCGTTGCGGGGCTGTGCAAAAGCTTACAACATTTTCCCAGCAATCACCAATCCAAAATGCTAACGACAATCTAATCAGGAGAGAAACCCCGCGAATAATTTTGCTATCAACTTTAGATAATAAAGACCTATAAAAGCTGTGCACAATACCTCCCTTCTCCACAAACGAATCATGTTCTCAGCCAAGCGTTCTGTAGTTGTGGCCGTAGTCCTCGTCCAGCTGGTGGCTCTTATCCAGGGAGGAGTCTACAGCCATGAGGACATGTGGGTGTACCTGGACAAGACCATGGATGTACCGGATGAAGCGATTCTCGGTGGCGTCGATCCCGAGGGCTACAACACCTACGTGGGTCGTGTCGCATACAGCTCTAATATTCTGCCAGCCCGAGTGGTTCCAGAACTGGGAAAGGCCACCTACAACACAGACACCTTGGGCAACCAAGCCAGCACCTACGAGGTCCTGGTGTCCAACGCCACCGTCAGCTACCACTGGATCCGCAGTTTCGATGGATTCCGGGAGAAGAGCGCCGTATCTGTGGGAACCAACGCCGCCAACGACCGCGTCTACATCTGCCGTGCCCGCTGTGATGAAGCGCTCTTTATCGGCACTCTGTACCTCGCCAAGCGGATGTGCATCGTCAAGTACGACAACTTCCCGCTGCGGCAGTTCGACAAGTACGAGATCCTCGTCCGCCAACGTCATGTAGCAGCCTTCTCTCCATTTGTTGATGGCTATATCCAACATTGAGTGTTGACAACAAAATAAATATTTATTAATGTAAATCACTTCCCTGCTATTTTTTTATTTATATTTTTATTATTTATATATCAGAAGTATAGGCAAATGAAAAAAATTACTTTGTGATTGAAAGTATGTGAATTCTTATTTCCCATTCTGTTACACATCAACATAAGCGCATAGAAAGAAATGAACTATAATTAATTAATCCTTTACGAATTTCATTACATATCTATACCCGTTATACGTTAAGTTATTGTATTAAAACAATACATTCACGTCAAGTTTCCATTTTTAGATATGGCCTAAAGCGGCTAAGCACAGCTTATGTGGAGGTAACTTTTACTTTGGCAATTTTTCTAAAATGTAATCTTACGATAATCAATAGACTTTTTAGAAAAATAACCCTTTATCTAATCTATCAAGTTGCCCCCAAAATAAATTACCTCATGAAATTCAGCAGACAGTCAGCAACTTTCTAGTCAACAGTTCAAGAATATTCCCCAACAAGGGTCTAATAACTAGCCGTAGTCCTAGTTTATTTGGTGACCACCTCAGGGGAGCAGTCTATAGCACTGATGACAAATGGATCCTTGCCGACAGGACTAAGGATCTGCTCGTGTCTAATGCTACTGTCAGCCGCCAATGGATCCGTAGCTACGATGGTTTTCGGGAGAAAAATGAAGTATCCGTCGGAACCAATGTCGCCAATGGACTTGTCTTCGTCTGTCGCATTCGTTGCGCTGAGGGCGTCTGCATTGGAACACTTTACCCGAAGAACCCTTCGAAGAAAAGGTGCATCCTCAAATACGATAACCTCCAACTCCGTGCATCCGACGAGTACGAGATACTGGTCAGACAACGCCAAGTGGCTCCGTTCATGGCATTCGCTCTGTAGGTTGGTACATTGTATAAGGAATGTCTAATTCTTTATCAGAAAAATATGTTTCGCGTTCCTAATTGATTTATCATGTTAGATAGTATGAACACTGTGAGTTTTTGTTTTCGTAAGGAGGTGAAAGAAAGCATTGTCATTTTGAATTTACATGAACATTTCACATACATAATTTGTATATATTAAAACTATATTTAAGCAGTACGATAAAATGTATTCCTTGGAAAAATAATCAAGTGTCTCTGATCGTTTAAAAACATTTTTATAAAATATACATAGTTATAGAATAGATTTTTAACTTGAAAGGGGTTATTTCAGGGGTTATTTATTTTATTTTATTATTAAAAGACAAGACAAATGTATTAAATAATATGTGTATTTTTTTTACTTGCCATATTAAGCCATTAACTAACAACTCCATATTATGAAATGACTTAAAGGGGGATTTTTTCTTCCAATATCTGTTATTTTTAAAGAGTGCAATAAAACTGCAATGCGTATGTTAGTCACCGAAACGGATGCTATCAGTACCAATCTTTTGATAGCGATAAGTGTAATTGGAGTCCGGTGATAAGAAGGCGACTATAAAAGCAGTGAAGTCACTGGCCAGACACTCAATGTGAATCCAGCAGTCCGTCAAGATGTACAAAGTAGCCTGTGTGGTTTTGGCCCTGTTCGCAGTTGCCTACGCGGTTCCCTCGACTTATGGTGAGTACCAAAAAACCAGAGGGTTATCTGAAACCTGTTAATATAGCCTTGTCGAACAGATACCGAGCACGTGTGGAAGGCTGGAAACCTGTCCTACGTTATTCCCTATAATGCCGTTGTGGGCGGCTTCGACCCGTACGGATTTAACACCTATGTGGGTCGTGTTAAGTACTCTAATGATATCCTGCCGGCTCGAGTTGTTGCGGAAACTGGCACTGCATACTTCAATACCGAGAGCACGTCCTCGAAGCTCCTTGTTTACGACATCCTAGTGGCTGAGCGAGATGTGAACTACGTGTGGGTCAGGAGCTTTGATGGATTCTATGAAAAGGGAGCCGTTGCCGTGGGCACAACGCTCAGAAATGAGCGGGTGTTTTGCTGTCGTGCCAAGACCGATGGAGGTATCCTAATCGGCACCCTTCTTCTCAGCAGCCAGAAGGTCTGCATCATTAAGCACGAGAGCTTGGCCCTGCGAAAGTTCGACAAATATGAAGTTCTGGTAGCCCAGCCTAAGGGCAATGGAACATACTACTAGACTCAGATATTTATCCGACTTGAGTTCCTTTAATATCCCGGCATCCTGTTAAAAGATAAATAAAACATAATTTATTTCAAAGATTTACCTTTACTTTGTAATTCACGGAATCGCACTTATTTCATCCTCAATGCCTCCTATTGAAGCCTCAGAGAGAGCAGACCAAACTGCTTAGGTTAGGCTTTGGGATTTGTTTACATGAATGGCTAAGTGCCGCTGCCAAAGAATTTGTTAATCGTTGCCAAAGGATTTGTTTATCAAAACGCATACTGAGCAGAGTACGGCATACAGTACGGGAACCAATTTAGTGCTTTATTGTTCATGGAATTAATGAAATTAACCGGTTTGGGTGGCGCAAATACGTCACTATATACTTATAGGGTCGGAAAAGCTTACATCTACCTGTTACATACTTTTAAACGAATCTAGTATACCCCTTTACTCTTCGAGTAACGGGTAAAAATATACCCCTAGCAATAGATGGCGCTAGTTGATGTCTTTATACATTTCTTTATATGTTTTTATTTCTGGCAAATACGACTTTGCCTTTCATATCGGAAATAATCATTGGATTCAATTAGTTTTCTATATATGGATATTCTAACATATAATAAATTTTAAATGGCCACATTCTCATATACAACAAAAATGTTAGGTTTACTAAACTATTTAAAAGATGATGATAATTTATCATGATTGATGATTGAATTCATGGTAATTTTCCGCATGCTACAAGTTTTAAAGTTTTCAAATTAAAAATTTAACTGAGTTCGTTTATTTTTACTTTACTTTGTCTTGGCATACAAATGAAGTCAACAATTTTTGTTATATTCTGTTGATAGCTAGAACAGCTGTTGATTGATGTTGATTAAAGTATTTAATCTATAACCAAATATCTTGTCTTGATTTTAGTGTCGTAAATTATTATGGTTAAATGAAAGCCACTTTGATTGACAGAAAGCTATTTTGCTAAGGCTTAATTTAATTTGAAGGGGATTTGGCAACTATCGATTAGATAAAATGGAAGATTGTCTATTTCACACTGTATCCACTTGAACATCACTCAGAAAGTATTACTGCTAGTTACAATTGAATTGAAATAAATAATTGCACAGTTTTAACTAAAACTATCGGGTTATAGTGAGTTATCTTCACAAGCAAAGGCAAAGTTTTCTCTTTTGGAAATAAATAAATTTGCAATAAAAGAATAACAACATGTTATTGTCTATCGTCCTTAGACGAAGTTTTCATAAATTTTTTTTAATACACACCAACTTTGCTATTCATTAATCATTAAATCATTTAATATTTTACCTACATACAAATTTTGATTTAATGAATACACCTTGTGACGATGAATACCACCAAAAGGGTAGAGACTTTCATTCCCCCCATTGTCCCTGAACTGGAAGCCTTCTCGTCCTGCCACCAGGTCCACTCATTATGGAAAAATCGGGGATCGCAGTCGGGATCCGCGGGCTTATTATTGGGAGGTTGAGCCTGTTTGGCAAATTGCTGGATTCGGGCCCAAAGATCCAGAAAGGTCGTCGAGTTCTTATACTCCGCATACAGGTTGCTCCGCTCGCAAGGATCAGCCTCGATGTCGAAGAGACATGGTGCCTCGAGAGGCAAGCAGGGTCTGACTCCTGTCGCAGGATTTGGACATTCGATGCTGGCCTGATCTCTTAATTCGCTGATGTTGCGCTCCCCGGATGTCACCTGCTGCAACTGCTGCCAGACACTGGTATTCCGAACGAGTTCCTCGTATTCCACGGCGCGAGGATCCACTTCACTGGTCTCCCTGTGACCAAGCCACCCGTCATAGAGGCCCTGATTGGTAGTGCCGCTAATCACCTTCCACTTGCCACGCGTATAGGACAAATGCGGAACCGCCACGTCCTCATCAATCACATGCACAATCTCCCGCTCCACAGATTCGTATCCGTACTTGAGGGCAGACCACAGATTTAATCCGTCCAAATGGAGCGCCGGATCCGGGGATATTCCGGCTGCTGCCGCCAATGTGGGCAACAGGTCGCCAATGTAGATCTGCTGCTTCCACACACTTCCCAGCCGCTCGAACTCAGTGCTCCAAATGGCCGCCGAGGATCTCAGAGCACCCTCCCAGGGGGAATCCTTTTGCTAAAATAGAGCATTAGGTTAGTTATTAGCAAGGGGAGCGCTATAGTTGAGGAACTATATATCATTTTGTAATTTACAATTAGAAAAATACGACATACCCCCCTCAGTGGATAGTTAGAGGCAGTCGTAGAGTGCTGCCCCTGTGTTGGCCCACCATTATCGGACAGAAAGAGTACGATGCTGTTTTGGAGCATTTCCTGGCGAGCTAGGGCATCGATTACAGAACCCACACTTTGATCCAGCTTGGAAACCATTGCGGCGTAGTAACGATGGGTTTTGTTGCGAATGTATTCGAATCGGGACACCTCCTCTGCTGGTGCCTGCATGGGATTATCATCATTTGCAGCATGGGGAGCCAGGTGATTCAAAAGCAGAAACAGGGGCTGGCTACTATTTTTCGATGCATGATCCTCAATTTCCTTGACGGCAGCATCGGTGAGCACATCGGTGATATAGTGTCCCACCTGATCGTGGCTGGATTTCAGATTATCGCGGAAGTCGTGACCATTGTATCCCTTACTCTAAAAAAAACAATAATATTGAAGATTTCAATGAATTACCATAAGGCATAACATGTTTTTACCTGTTGTTCATAACTCTGGGTGTAGTAGTCCACATAGGCCCCAAGATATCCCAAGTGCCGATCGAAGCCCCTTTGCGTAGGCGTAAAATTACGCTGCGAAAATCCCAAATGCCACTTTCCGAGGAGACTGGTTCGATAACCGTTTTCCCGGAAAATCTCCGCCATGGTAGTCTCATTAAGGGGGAGACCCCAAGGCTGATCGTTCACAATCACATAATGCTGCATTCCTAAAAGAGATTGTTATAGGATAACTAAAGTTCGAGAATAATCTAAGGCTAAACTTGCCCGTATTTATAGGATATTTTCCAGTCAGAAGAGCTGCTCTACTGGGTGTGCACATTGGAGCGACATAGAGATTATTAAGGATCACTCCGCTGTACGCCAAAGCATCAATGTTGGGAGTGAGGAAATTATTGGAGCCGCGAAAGCTAACGTCGTCAAAACCCTGTTGGAAACTGGTGCTAATAGGTATTTAGCTCTCATTACCATCACGTGGAGCCTACCAGATCATCTGCCATTATAATGATGATATTGGGCCTATCGGATGCGGCTATTATACCATTTGATAAAGCAATACATAAAACAAAGCCAGCTAACAACCAGGTAGCACTGCTGAATTTATCCAGATGAGTTGACATCGCCGTGAATGGAGTGAGGAAGATGTGGGACAGCTAGTGAAAAACAAACAAATGAGAATTAGTGCATATAAGCGTTTAAAAAATTAACATTCCAAATGGGCGACAAGTCAGCGGGTAACACTCTGTTTATGATGGATGAGGTCTTCAGATCGTTCCGTATATATTAGAAGTAGAATACTTTTCTATTTTTCCAATTTGCTGAAGCTTTTAATAGCACGTTTTGGGAGTTTTCTGCCGCTTAATTAGTTATTAATTAAATAACAGATAGCTGCAAAATAAATAAAGTTCATCCAATATAAATACTGATAGACAGTATGCAAACGTCGAGACAATGTGCCCTTAGGCGAATGTTTTCAACATATTCGGCGTAATTAAGGATTACAGCTACACAACTACGAGTAAATGCAAATAAGATGACTCTAAAAGTTAGTCAGGTAGGAAGATGCCTTTGATCACTGCTAAAACTTGCAGCAAAACAAATGTTTATTTATTATTGTAAAATATATACATATGTACATAATACATCAATTTTAAACTGTCATGTTCATATATTAATTAAAGCAATACGTTTTGTTTTTTTCTTTAGGGCTACACACATCTAAAATTATCATACGATAGCTATGTAAAATATTTTTTATATACAACAAATTTTAAGATAAATAGTCAAGTTATAAATGACAAGTTATTATCACATTCATTAATAAGTTTACCTTTACATATGAACAGTTGCAGCTTGTTTATTGCACACACTTAAACATATATTTTACTTTCCTTAATTTTTTTTAAATGCCAGTCCAAACCAATTGACAATTGAAATTGTATTTAATGATCTGGCGGAAATTTATTTCCCAATCTTTAAATTTTGTTCTCGCACTTTTATTATCAGACAAGCTGAAAAAATGCTCACCGAAATAAAATAAAAGGAATCAAAATAACAATGGACTTATCAGCTAGATTCGTGCATACCAATTTCACTCACTGGTATTCGCGATCGAGGTGTTAGTTTCTCTAATTCTAATCTCTGATCCGCCGGACTCGAAGTGCGGAGAGCAACTAAATAACGACTGAAAATATTTTGAGGCTGCCTTAATAGCCAGTTACCGGTTAATATATATATCCCATCCAAATTAACATCAAACAGCTTTGGAGTGGGTGGTATCAAGAGACAACGGAAGAGAGAGCTGATTTAAAAGAGATACGTGCTTCTTAACGTTAACGTACATATCTACAAGATAGATGTGATGCATACTTTTTGGAGCTAGAATTTAAAAAAACCTGACTGCATTGACTGCATTTTAAATCTAAATGGTACAGTAAAAGGGTATAATAGAATCGTTTAAGTTTCACTACCCGATGACTAGATCGGTCATGTCATTACGTATGTACGAACGTCGAGTTCTCGGGAACTATAAAAGCTAGAAAGTTTGGATTGGGAATGCAGATTTAAGTGACCCATCCCTGGGTAAAATTATGGAGATGATGATCCTTAAGAGGTTGCTTACATGCCTAAATGTTACCAAATTCGTTAGCAAATTCCGAAATTTCAGTTTTATTTTCCATTGCACGACCTACGCTCACGAAAAGCAAAAGTATCTTGGCTGCCTTTTTTGGTCTACAGGAATACTTGGATGTCTTCCAGCAATGGACTGAGAACTGGAACGTGCGAGACAACGCTGAGAAGAGTGTCAGTCTTAATCACCACCACCCTATAAATACCTTGGTATAACCCTCGATAGGAAGCTTATCTACAGCACATTACAAATATACAGAAAGCGTTCCGTAACTCGAATGTCTTGGCTCATTGCACCACGCTCTCTCTCGCTTAACTGCAAGGTGAAGATATACAAGTCCAGCCTGTTCTATGCTATACGGCAGGTATACTGCGCAAAGAGTCACCTAAGATTCGCGTTCTACAGGCGAAGACCTTAAGAAGGATTTCTGGAGCTCCTTGGTACATGAGAACCAGAGAGATCGAACGCGACTTAAAGGTACCCAAACTCGAAGACAAGATCCAGAACAACGCTGAAAAATACATGGAACGACCCAAACGTAGGTTACAATGCGTTGATCAATAAAAACTTCATTATATTGTTGATATAAAAAAAGAAAAACGTAACTGCACCTTAAATTTTAAAATAAAGTTATATTTAAATAAATTTATCAAATCAAGAAATTTTAAAAATCAGGTTCCCTCGCCACCACCACCTTTAATAGCACTCCAACTTTTCTTTACCAAGCCTAAAGGCTTATTAAGCCCAATCCCACCATTCGCAGCACATAGGACACAATCCACATAAAATACTCCTGAATTGTAATTGATCTTTCACCATATCCATGATGCAGTGTAGTTGGTGATTATTGTCTTGAATAAATCGGATAGTTCAGAATGAACTTTTTTATACTTGGGTACTGAGATGATTGTTGTTACAAACAACAGATAACACTATAGTCGAGTTCCCCGATCCTCGGAAACGTTTCCGACACTGTCCGTCATTCTGTCCGTAATCTTGAAACTATCTTTGGAACTATTAAAGCTAGAAATTTTCGAATGGGCATGCAGATTACTTGCCACATTCTTGAATATGTCGAATGAGCTTAGAGTAACCGGTATCTGATAGTCGACAATAAGGTCCATTATTCTCTTACAGTTATGTATTTCACTTCTTTACACAGATGACATTCTGGTTTCCGTTCTAAACGGCAAACAATAAAATGACACAACATATTTTATCACACCATTATAAATACTCGTTACTTTAAGAGTATATTTTAATTGAAATTGCGTATTGGCGATTTTATTTTATTTAAGCCATTATTTTCATTTTATAAATAGAATTTCTAAATGTTACATAAGTCGTATTTATTCACCTCCTCCATAATCTCCGCCTCCACCACCACCGTCATCGCCGCCTTCGCCACCTCCTCCACCACCGCCTCCATCACCACCGCCGCCGCCAAAGCCACCACCACCACCACCACCACCACCACCGCTACCACTTATAATTTTATTCCAGATACTTTTCACCCAGCCCCAAATTTTTTTTTTCCAATTCCATAGCCACCCAAAAGTTCTGGGTTGCATTTCTCTATTCATCATGTCCTTGATCAAAGAGGCAGTGTCTTTAGTAACTACTGTCTTAAATATATCAGAATGCATGCAATCTGTCACAGGTTCCTTGTCATTGCATAGATGTTGAAATTTGCCATTAATCCCAGTGGCGCAGTGTATTCCAGGTTTTCCGGAAGACTCGTATAGAAGCGAGTTCTTCTTGGGTGAACAGCTATACATGCAGGCTAGCCATTGGTGAGTCCATCCGTCTTTTTCGATTCTTGCTATGGCACAACCCAATCGGCTACTGGGGCCCACCATCATCCTTCGGAAGTGCCCAACCTCCTTCCTGAAACAGAGAAATATTAGTTGGCTATGAGTTAGGTTAAAATCGAAGTTATAAATATAGCTTACTTATCCGGGGACAGTCCATTAATTAGACTGACTGCAGAAACGTGCTTGTACTGATCGTACCACGCATTCAATTGCGATCGAACTATCCTGAATGTATCCTGGTTCGCCTTAAACTTGTTATATACCGCATGGTAGCCCGGAGACGAGAACTCTTCTGTGGATATGCAGTGGTCTGTGGGTTGAAGATCGCAGCGTTTTAACAAGAGTGTAGCCAAGAAAGCCAAGTCGTGGTCCCACTTCAACTTAAGCATACGGGCTGCAATGGGCAGCCTGTGTAATTGGCCCCCGGCAACAATATCGCGATATGTGTTGTGATAGTTCAGAATGAACAATCTTATATGCTTGGGTATTGAAATGATTGTTGGCTCTTTTCCGCATTTAGGCGACCAGTTCTGCAATACAAGCAAAAGAGAAAGCTTTAGTCGGCTATCAGATACCCGTTACTCGGCTAATAGAAGTAACAGGAAGATATTTAAAAAATGTTGTTGGCATAGCGATTGAAACTGGCAAGAAAATAATAAAAAAGTGAAAGATTCAACACATTTCTAAAATTGTGGGCGAGACAATTTGGGCGGCCTGTGGGCCAAAATATTTTTAACATATCGGCAGAATTTGGCAAGACAAGCATGTTTCAAAATGTTTGGCGTGGGCTTTTTCTAACTTTTTTAGTTCTTGATTCATACGGACAGACAAACGAACGGACATGGTTAGGTTGACTCGGATATTGATCCCGCTAGGGTCGGAAAAGTTTCCTTTTCCATACTTTTCAACGAAGTTAGTGCACCCTTTTACTCTACAAGTAACGGGTATAAGGAAAGTCTAATCTATTGTATGTGTTTCACATGAATAGTAATGTTTTAAAACTTACTTTCAAACTTTTTGGTAGCTTACTAAAAATTTATAATTGCATTTTAAACGTAGAGAATCCGATTCCTAGATGCACAGTATATCATTCGCAACTAATTAGTATTATCTAACAACAGATTCTTATGTCTTTCGCCAATGACAGCTATATTACTAGGAAAATTTGAAAAAAAAAAAGCCACGTTGATAGTCAACGGGTTTATATCAAAAAGTGGCCAAATAAAATACCACAAATCTTTCTATGCAGTTTCCGAACTATCACTCTTACCCCACTGCTATTGCAGCCAATATGTGGCAGTTTTTTATCCGCTGGACAGTTTTTTAAATGACAATAGTTGGTTTCTGGCAGCAGAAAGACCAAATTCAGACCGAATAAGAGCAGCAACCCGGCTGCAACGCAAGGAGAACTCCACATCTTCACCATCGTTTTGAAACTAACATTGTTGTCCATTATTCGGTGTCGAAATTAGTTGAGATTATTAAATTATGCTTGCTTCATTACGACCAAGTGTGACCTAACAGCGTGTAGGCTTATTAGGTTTTAAAACTTCGAAAAATACTATTTACTAATAAAACATTTTAGTTTCTGTGGACGTCAGGATTACTTTTTCTAATAAGAAACCATTGCCGATTTGTGTAGATTTCTTTTGCTTCATGCTGCAAATGAAAACAAGAGAGAACGCTATAGTCGAGTTCCTCGACTATCAGATACTCGTTACTCAGCTAGTGAGAGTGCAAACGAGAAAATTTGAATTTTTTTGGGAATTGGCAAGAAAAATAATAAAACGACAAAACATGTAACATTTTTCCAAACCTATTTTTGTAATCTAATAAATTTACAAAGCTAATAAAAAGATTACAAAAAAATCAAATCATTTTGCAAAAGTGCAGTGTTTAGTAATTGGTTTATATTACTATATTGTCCTTGACAGAGCAGAAGTAACTGATGACATAGCAAAGCCCAAAAAAAAAAGGGGCAAAGCTCTGGGTTGCACTTTTCTATTCATCATGCCCCTGATCAATGAGGCAGTGTCTTTGGTGATCATTGTCTTGAATAGATCAGAGTGCATGCAATCTGTCACAGGTTCCGTGTCATTGCATAGATGTTGAAACTCGCCATTAACCCCAGTGGCGCAGTGTATTCCAGGTTTTCCGGAAGACTCGTATAGAAGCGAGTTCTTCTTGGGTGAACAGCTATACATGCAGGCTAGCCATTGGTGAGTCCATCCGTCTTTTTCGATTCTTGCTATGGCACAACCCAATCGGCTACTGGGGCCCACCATCATCCTTCGGAAGTGCCCAACCTCCTTCCTGAAACAGAGAAATATTAGTTGGCTATGAGTTAGGTTAAAATCGAAGTTATAAATATAGCTTACTTATCCGGGGACAGTCCATTAATTAGACTGACTGCAGAAACGTGCTTGTACTGATCGTACCACGCATTCAATTGCGATCGAACTATCCTGAATGTATCCTGGTTCGCCTTAAACTTGTTATATACCGCATGGTAGCCCGGAGACGAGAACTCTTCTGTGGATATGCAGTGGTCTGTGGGTTGAAGATCGCAGCGTTTTAACAAGAGTGTAGCCAAGAAAGCCAAGTCGTGGTCCCACTTCAACTTAAGCATACGGGCTGCAATGGGCAGCCTGTGTAATTGGCCCCCGGCAACAATATCGCGATATGTGTTGTGATAGTTCAGAATGAACAATCTTATATGCTTGGGTATTGAAATGATTGTTGGCTCTTTTCCGCATTTAGGCGACCAGTTCTGCAATACAAGCAAAAGAGAAAGCTTTAGTCGGCTATCAGATACCCGTTACTCGGCTAATAGAAGTAACAGGAAGATATTTAAAAAATTTTGTTGGCATAGCGATTGAAACTGGCAAGAAAATAATAAAAAAGTGAAAGATTCAACACATTTCTAAAATTGTGGGCGAGACAATTTGGGCGGCCTGTGGGCCAAAATATTTTTAACATATCGGCAGAATTTGGCAAGACAAGCATGTTTCAAAATGTTTGGCGTGGGCTTTTTCTAACTTTTTTAGTTCTTGATTCATACGGACAGACAAACGAACGGACATGGTTAGGTTGACTCGGATATTGATCCCGCTAGGGTCGGAAAAGTTTCCTTTTCCATACTTTTCAACGAAGTTAGTGCACCCTTTTACTCTACAAGTAACGGGTATAAGGAAAGACTAATCTATTGTATGTGTTTCACATGAATAGTAATGTTTTAAAACTTACTTTCAAACTTTTTGGTAGCTTACTAAAAATTTATAATTGCATTTTAAACGTAGAGAATCCGATTCCTAGATGCACAGTATATCATTCGCAACTAATTAGTATTATTATCTAACAACAGATTCTTATGTCTTTCGCCAATGACAGCTATATTACTAGGAAAATTTGAAAAAAAAAAGCCACGTTGATAGTCAACGGGTTTATATCAAAAAGTGGCCAAATAAAATACCACAAATCTTTCTATGCTGATAAATACGCTGCAGTTTCCGAACTATCACTCTTACCCCACTGCTATTGCAGCCAATATGTGGCAGTTTTTTATCCGCTGGACAGTTTTTTAAATGACAATAGTTGGTTTCTGGCAGCAGAAAGACCAAATTCAGACCGAATAAGAGCAGCAACCCGGCTGCAACGCAAGGAGAACTCCACATCTTCACCATCGTTTTGAAACTAACATTGTTGTCCATTATTCGGTGTCGAAATTAGTTGAGATTATTAAATTATGCTTGCTTCATTACGACCAAGTGTGACCTAACAGCGTGTAGGCTTATTAGGTTTTAAAACTTCGAAAAATACTATTTACTAATAAAACATTTTAGTCCCTGTGGACGTCGATATGTGTAGATTTCTTTTGCTTCATGCTGCAAATGAAAACAAGAGAGAACGCTATAGTCGAGTTCCTCGACTATCAGATACTCGTTACTCAGCTAGTGAAAGTGGAAACGAGAAAATTTCCATGTTTTGGGAAATTGGCAAGAAAAATAATAAAACAACAAAACATGTAACTTTTTTCCAAACCTAATTTTGTAATCAAATAAATTTACCAAGCTAATAAAAAGATTACGAAAAAATCAAAACATTTTCCAAAAGTTCACTCGTGTTTTTTAGTAATTGGTTTATATTAATTTTTACGCTTAACTTTTTTTATCAAAGCACCAAACAATGTTGCCGTATGATAGCCTAAGTCAAAGGCAAAAAATCTGGGTTGCACTTTTCTATTCATCATGCCCCTGATCAATGAGGCAGTGTCTTTGGTGATCATTGTCTTGAATAGATCAGAGTGCATGCAATCTGTCACAGGTTCCGTGTCATTGCATAGATGTTGAAACTCGCCATTAACCCCAGTGGCGCAGTGTATTCCAGGTTTTCCGGAAGACTCGTATAGAAGCGAGTTCTTCTTGGGTGAACAGCTATACATGCAGGCTAGCCATTGGTGAGTCCATCCGTCTTTTTCGATTCTTGCTATGGCACAACCCAATCGGCTACTGGGGCCCACCATCATCCTTCGGAAGTGCCCAACCTCCTTCCTGAAACAGAGAAATATTAGTTGGCTATGAGTTAGGTTAAAATCGAAGTTATAAATATAGCTTACTTATCCGGGGACAGTCCATTAATTAGACTGACTGCAGAAACGTGCTTGTACTGATCGTACCACGCATTCAATTGCGATCGAACTATCCTGAATGTATCCTGGTTCGCCTTAAACTTGTTATATACCGCATGGTAGCCCGGAGACGAGAACTCTTCTGTGGATATGCAGTGGTCTGTGGGTTGAAGATCGCAGCGTTTTAACAAGAGTGTAGCCAAGAAAGCCAAGTCGTGGTCCCACTTCAACTTAAGCATACGGGCTGCAATGGGCAGCCTGTGTAATTGGCCCCCGGCAACAATATCGCGATATGTGTTGTGATAGTTCAGAATGAACAATCTTATATGCTTGGGTATTGAAATGATTGTTGGCTCTTTTCCGCATTTAGGCGACCAGTTCTGCAATACAAGCAAAAGAGAAAGCTTTAGTCGGCTATCAGATACCCGTTACTCGGCTAATAGAAGTAACAGGAAGATATTTAAAAAATATTGTTGGCATAGCGAAAAGTTGGCATAAAAAAGTGAAAAATTCAACACATTTCTAAAATTGTGGGCGAGACAATTTGGGCGGCCTGTGGGCCAAAATATTTTTAACATATCGGCAGAATTTGGCAAGACAAATATTTTAATGGTAAAGAAATCTAAGCATGGTTCAAAATTTTTGGCGTGGGCTTTTTCTAACATTTTTAGTTCTTGATTCATACGGACAGACAAACGAACGGACATGGTTAGGTTGACTCGGATATTGATCCCGCTAGGGTCGGAAAAGTTTCCTTTTCCATACTTTTCAACGAACTTAGTGCACCATTTTACTCTACAAGTAACAAACGTAGAGAATCCGATTGCTAGATGCACAGTATATCATTCGCAACTAATTAGTATTATCCAACAACAGATTCTTATGTCTTTCGCCAATGACAGCTATATTACTAGGAAAATTTGAAAAAAAAAAAGCCACGTTGATAGTCAACGGGTTTATATCAAAAAGTGGCCAAATAAAATACCACAAATCTTTCTATGCAGTTTCCGAACTATCACTCTTACCCCACTGCTATTGCAGCCAATATGTGGCAGTTTTTTATCCGCTGGACAGTTTTTTAAATGACAATAGTTGGTTTCTGGCAGCAGAAAGACCAAATTCAGACCGAATAAGAGCAGCAACCCGGCTGCAACGCAAGGAGAACTCCACATCTTCACCATCGTTTTGAAACTAACATTGTTGTCCATTATTCGGTGTCGAAATTAGTTGAGATTATCAAATTATGCTTGCTTTATTATGACAAAGTGTGACATACCAGCGTACAGGCTTATTTGGTTTTACAGCTTCGACCAAAACGAAAAATTAAGTTACGGTCTATACTAAACCGTATATTATTTTGGTCATGTTTTAAATACATACATATGAACAAGCAACAAATAAACTTAAATATGATGGGAAAACTTGCCGAAAAAAAATCAGGAAGTGTATTTACTTTAGTGAATATCCAGAATATGATATGTACATATGTACATTATACATGCTAGTAATTTAGTATTTGTTAAAAAATGTTATCGGACCAACTAAAAGGTCCCTTTCACTCTCTCAATAAAAAATATGGATGTTAAAGGACCGGCGTTAACTTTGATTAAACAAATTACATCATAACTTTGGTACAAATTTGAGCAAACTTATTGTATGTTTGTACAAGCATGCACATGCACATAAGTGCATATGTACATACATGTATATGTATGAGTTTTTTAGTGGAATCGCTGCACTGATTGATTAGAAACAAAAGTTGTCTTAATGGTAAATACATACATGGATCGGAAACTTTAATTGTTGATTAAGGTGAAAGCTATTTCTTCAGCACGGAGTGTTTTCTATTTATTATACATATGTACATTGTAGGTTTTTGTACCCTTTCAGAATATAAATATGTTATGTGTACATTGTTCTGTAAATAAGTACGTACATATGTGCATACGTACTTTTTTATTATTTATTGATCAGTTGAACAGCAGAATCGACAGTGTGCCACTTATATGGATCAGCTGATTTAATCTTAATATCGAATAAACTTGTTTAATTATTAACGTAAGAAAAATAAAACAAGGAAGATATGCCTTCGTTGCCTGGTACATATGTATGTACTTGTAAACGAATCTAGTATACCCTTTTACCAAAGACACTAAAATAATTATTCTAGTGTCTTTGCGTTTACTCTAAGAGTAACGGTTATAATTATTGGCGTGTTGTTGGAATTTTTTTAGCTTAATATAAAAAAAAAAAAAACAATTTCATTTGGTTTTTTTAAGAACTACAAAAATCTTATTTTAAACGCATTTTTGGCGCCATATACATATGTATGTATGTATATATATAGACATGTCCATCCATCCGTTCGCCCGTTTCTACGCAAGCTACATAGTTAAATATTTACATATGTACATACATATGTATTAATGTATGTATGTTTCTCATGAAACTTTCCCAATAATATTTCTTTGTCTGTTGTGAATAATTTGAAACGAGACGGATCGGATAACTTTATTATGTACATACATATGTATTTGTAGGCGCCATAGAAATGATTAAAAAATACATGGATAACACATTTTACTTTGTTTTGTATTATAAAGTGTTATAAAATGTGTCATAAAATATAAATTGAATATTATTCAGGCCTGAATATTTTGGCTAGGAAATCATTAGGCGGTGTTTCATCAAACTCTGTTAAGGGTGGAGCTATAGGCTGATGAAATAGAACTGCCTAAGAAGTAAGCACACAATAAGATAGCCAACAAGAGAGAGCGGATATTGTAGTTTTTACCGGCTTAGTAGAGTTGCCAGTCCACCGCGTTGAATGTATAAATATCGCCAGTATATTTACGTACATACAGAGCACATGGAGATTCGCAGAAGTCGACTACCCGGACTCTCTCCCGTCCCACAAAAGAAAATAGTAGATGAACATAGACGTAGAAAATATTTGATATCTAAATTTTAGTGTAATAGCTTACTGAACTTTTAAAACTGAATTTTCTTGAAATTTGTTTCCCATTGAAATTTAGACGTTCTACTCATAAATGGATAGATATAAAATTTATAAACTATAGAGAAAAACATGTTTCCAGGTTTCCAGTTGGGTGGGCACCAACTGCTATTTAAAAGGGTTCGACCAGGTGCAAACCCCTTTTGACTGCGGCCATGGCAAGTGGGAGAGCGAGAGGCATTGAGAGCGGCAGCTGCACTGGCAATGTGGTGGTTGCGTTGCGTTGCGTGGAAAAGTGATTTTATGTTCAAAACACATGGTTTGCGGCAGAATGGTTATGTGAAGAACGGAAAACGGCCGCAAATTGATGAGCGGTACAGTATTAATTGAATTTAATCAAATCGATTCGCATGACAGCAATGGAGGAGTTCGCCGAGTACTATGGGTAAGTTTTTTGGGATGTGAAGTATGTGTGTGTGTGGGGAGCCTCAAGAACACGCATGCAACAAGTGTCTAAAATTAGCGTTAAGTGCAATCAAACACGGTGGCTAATTTTAGACACGATTTAGCACCCACTTCTCGGCCACACGACGTGAATCGGCTATTCCCTATCAGCTGAGTTGCGTATAAACAATGGCCAAATCTGCAGCTCCACGCGACCATGTTAATGAAAAGCACAAACAAAGCCAAATTAGGTAGAGCATCTTGGAGCTATCAGCACCCCAACTGAAAAATGCCATGTGGATCGAATTAATCCTTTCCTAAAAGGATGAAAAGTTCAGCTGCTTCTTTCGTGGCGTACAAATTCTAGTCAAACTGAACGTAATGAAATATTTTCTATTACTTACATGTTTGGGAAATAATATTTCGTTTTAAAATTAGTCATACATATGTACATATGTATGTATTTTTCTGAACAAAATCTTGGTTTTGTAGTCGCGTTTCTTATCTTGTGAACGTTTTTTACGATATTCGCATCTTTCTAATGTGTAAGATGAATACTCTATTAATGCAAAGTGTGTCAAAGATGCAAATATTTAAGTTTCATCAAATCATAAGCAAGTGCCACACTTGTATTGAGCCTAAAATTTAGCTACCTCTGCTACTTATTTAATGACGACAAGCAATTTCCACTATTCGAACCGCTAATCGATCGCGACAATTCATTAGGGCTTGTGGTAAACTTGGCCCATCGACCTGACAAGGCATCCGTTGGATTGCGAAGTCCCATCCGTAGTATGCATTCGGGTATACGATACTCGTACTTCATATTCAGGTGGGGAAGGAGGTGGCAACGGGTTACCAATTAGCGTTATCAGCGTCAGAGGCGCGATTCCACCACAGTTGTGTCTGACCTGAGGATTCGAGAGCTTCTGTCCGGCTGGCACTCACCACGATCCCCCGGAGCCGTAGAACCGATTCGCTATTTAATGGCACTGGCGTGCCTGACGAACGCTCAGAAATAAGTGGAACGCTTCCCGGCGCTATACGCAAGTCGATCAAGTTCCAAACTGCAAATTCGAATACGCAAACTCAATTAAGTGGCAACCAGATACAGATTCGGTTAATAGTTGCGCACTCAAGTCTCGTATTAGAAACTCGATTCCACCCGTGGAAACTAAAAATGGCTGGCAGTTTGTGAAATTTAGTAAATAAAGATTCAAAGGGGAAAAATAAGAAACAAAGAAGCAAAAAATTATCTTTGTGACTAAAGGATCTAAACTAGTTCACAAGCAAGCAGGTGAGAAATCGATAATTATTGCTCTGAAATTTACATTTTTAAACATATCTCAAAAAATGTTTAATATTTATAGACAGCCTAATACTATTATTTATTTTCACCTATGTACGATAATGTTAAATGTTTACATTGAGTGGTAAACCAAAGTAAAATCGATTTGAAACACTTGAAGGAATGTGAAAAATTTTTTGTAATTTCTGAAACCTTAACAAATATGTACACTGTCAAGGTGACAAACTCATAGTTTCTTGAGCGTTGGGTTAGCTGAGACACTACACCTTGGGATAACTTTATGTGGAGATATCCCCTGTTAGTCATCGGAAATAATCCCCGATGATCACAAGACTCTAATTTAGATCAGCTTCGATGCGACTTGGCGACTGTAAAACCGTTGTCTACATTCGCACATTAACGAACGCCCACTAATTTTCTTATGGCCCGATCCATAAACCCAAACTCCGCAAATTTCTTAGCCCACCTACCACCACAGACACTTTCCACAAATTGCGAACGTGTTAATATGTGGGTTCTGTAAACATCGAAAATACGGCGGGTTATTATTGCACGGCTCAGCAGAAGCCCTAAGCTCCGATTGCACAGTAACCCATTATAATAATTGTTTAATGAACGTATTCCAGAATGCCCAGCTGGAGCGTGACGAATGCGTTTCGCGTGCTCACACGCAAGAAGCCCCTGGAGGACTCGAATGAATCCAAACTGGCCAAGGTCTTATCCGCCTTTGATCTTACCGCCCTGGGAATCGGATCGACGTTGGGTGTGGGTGTTTACGTCCTCGCTGGCGAAGTGTCCAAGCAATATGCTGGGCCTGCCGTGGTCGTGAGCTTCCTGATCGCTGCCATCGCCTCGATCTTCGCCGGATTGTGCTATGCGGAGTTCGGAGCTCGGGTTCCAAAAGCGGGATCGGCGTATATCTACAGCTATGTGACTATTGGCGAGTTTATCGCCTTCCTCATCGGCTGGAATCTCATTCTCGAATACGCAATCGGTAAGTTCTCAATTGGTGACGCCGCCGATTGATTGGTTTGATTTAATTGCCAATATTCTATTTTCCTAGGCTCTGCCAGTGTCGTCAAGGGTTTAAGCACCTATCTCGACCAGCTTTGCGGCAATCCGATGAGTAGTTTCCTGGGCACCCACATGCCCCTCAATATTGAGGGAATGAGTGCCTATCCGGATCTGTTTGCCTTCGTGGTAACCATACTTTTTTCCCTGGCCATTGCAGTTGGAGCCAAGGAATCTACCAGGGTGAACAATGTCTTTACCATGCTCAATCTTGGAGTGGTGTTGTTCGTCATTATCGCGGGTCTTTTTAAAGGTGGGTTGGAGATTGTTTTACATATTAATTTACTTACACAATCCTCTACAGTTTCCAGAAGCAACTGGTCCATTCCAAAATCGGAGGTACCCGAGGGTTACGGCGATGGTGGATTTATGCCGTACGGAGTTTCGGGCATAATCAAGGGTGCTGCTGTTTGCTTTTACGGCTTCATTGGCTTCGACTGCATTGCCACAGCTGGAGAGGAGGCCAAGAACCCCAAGAAGTCCATTCCATTTGCTGTGATTGTCTCGCTGGCCATGATCTTTCTGGCCTACTTTGGAGTGTCCACAGTGCTGACCATGATGCTACCCTATTTTGAGCAGGACGAAAAGGCTCCACTGCCCCATGTCTTTCGGATAAACGGCTGGCATGTGGCCGAGTATGTTGTCAGTATTGGAGCGATGTTTGGACTGTGCTCCAGCATGATGGGAGCCATGTTCCCGTTGCCAAGGATCGTATTTGCCATGTCTAACGATGGATTGCTGTTCAAATTTCTTGGAGACATTAGCGAGAAGTACAAGACACCTTTCAAGGGAACCATGATCACAGGTCTGCTGACTGGTATTCTGGCAGCCGTTTTCAATCTCAGCCAACTGGTGAACATGATGTCCATTGGCACTTTATTGGCCTATTCCATGGTGGCGAGTTGCGTCCTTATGCTGCGCTACGAAGTGGACGATCGACGGGAGAGCCGCATTGTGGCAAATGGACGTGCCACGGGTCTGGAGCAGGATCATCCCGGTGCCCTCTGGAGGCGGATATTCAACCTAAACGGTCAGACAGTACCCACAAAGCAGACTTCAAGGATCGTCACCTACAGTGTCACGCTGTTCTGTGAGTACAAATTGTATTTTTGAAACTTGATTAGAGCGAATTATACTTTACGAAGCTAGCTCTGATATTATTACATATTTATACTAAGGATTAGTATTATTATTACACGTTTTTAATGTATCAGGAATAGGAATAGTAAACAGCATAAGTATATTGTAGACTTTTCAAAATTTGATCAAATTTATTTTGTTTTAGCTCTTTGGTGCATGGTTTTCTCGCAGATTCTGACCAAGTTCGAGGAGGATCTGGCTAACGTGACGTCCTTCGACGGTATTAAGCTGGTGCTGGGCACCATCCCCCTTGCAGTACTGCTCCTGATTATCTCGCGCCAACCAACATCAGGGGTGAAATTGTCGTTCAAGGTTCCCTTGGTACCCTGGCTACCGGGCATTTCCATTCTGATTAACATTTACCTGATGATCAAGTTGGATATTCTCACATGGGTGCGCTTTAGCATATGGATCGCAATAGGCCTGACTATCTTTCTGGCCTACGGCATCCGTCACAGCCGACTGAGGCAGCGGGAACAGCGCAACAATTCCATCGCCATGATGCGGGATTGCAGCAATACGGCGTTGTTGGGCGGCCAGGAAAACTCAAAATACAGCAACGAGGTGCCCCTGATATTGATGCACAGTACATCCTAAATACGTATTGATATTTAACATTTAATATTTAACATACTATACATTTAAATTTTGCCTGCAAGATACGCGATCATCATCCACATACTCACGTATGTAATTTACACATGCACTTATCCTCATATCGTTAAATAGGATACCAAAAACTACGAAAGTACAATAAGTAAGCTGAAAGCAATAAACACGAATATTCCTATGCTAAATAGATTTACATTTATTTCAATGACAGATTTGCTTATAATTTAGCGGTGAAATTCAGCCGGCCAATGCGATCAAATGGGATTAAGCATTTTAAAATGTAATCTTGCTGCACTCTCAGTACATAACAGATATTAAATAATTGTAGCGATCAATTGGAGTCACAATCCATATGTCAATTGATTTCGACGCGTCTATATTATTATCTTGACATTACTGCACTCTAAATATTGACTCGTTTTCCGCTGCGAAAGCCGACCGTGCTTTTCATAAAAACGATAGATTTAACAGAAATGTTACTAAGTATACTTGTACTACACTTATAACAATTGCAATGTTTCCCAGACTTAAATCTCGACTTTGGTAGCTGCAGTAGCATTCCGCTCGCCATTCTCCCTTTCACGTTCTGCAGGCTCCTCCTCTTCAGCCTCTTCGCGCTGCTCCTCAGAGGAGGCCTGCTCTTCCTCCTCGCTCGCGACAATAATGAACTCACTGTCTCCAGTCGTAGAGTTAGTTTTTTCGCTCGAGCGACTGGAATTTGAACGCGGTTCTAAAGCAGACCCGTACAAAGCGGGATTGCAGGTAAACTCCTGTTTCTTGGCGGCGTTTACTTCACGTGCAATGGTGGATACCGCACTGGGATTCACGTTCTGGCTGTGCTTGAAAGAGCCACCCTGCGATTGCTGGCCGAATCCCAGAGCGCCAGTTACGGGTTTAACTATCGGACGCTGATTCTTTGCCAGACCACCGGTTACCATGCTGGCCGAAAATCCCGGCGGCGGTTTGAAACCAATATGCGGAGCATTGCACGTGTCCATCTTAAATACGTGTCGAGTTCGGGTGCTACCTAGTTGTTTCTCCACGCGCAGGGACTGAGTGGGAACGACGGGCGCCCGACGAACCACCCGCGGTATAGCGGCCTGAGACATATCCGTCAACTCTCCGGTGGCTGACTGACCAGCTCCTCCACTTGGCTGATCTCCGAATCCGTACATCCGCTCGTGGCGCTCGTGGACATTCCCGTCGAAATCCTTGGACATTCGCCTGCTTGCCGACGTTTTGGAAATATCAGGTGCGGGCAGAAGTGGAGCCACATGCACCGCAGCCGGAACGTTGACACTGGTGCCTAGCCCTAGGCGCTGTTTAACATCGTTCAAGGTTTGATGTGCCTGCTGACGTGCCTTTTCTGCCCCCACTTCCAGCAAATACATCATCTCGTTGCGCCTGGTCATGTGATGGTGTATCTGTTCACGGATCGGGCGCAAGTGCTCGACCACAGCCTCGGCCACACGGTCCTTATACTTAGCCGTGTCCAAAGTGGCGGCCTCATCCACCACTGTCTTAATGGGCTGCCCAGTGACCTGGGCATGGATGTTGACCAGATTGCTGACGCCAGCTCGCTTGCCAGGATTATAGGTAATATCTGATGTAAAGTCTGTGACGGCTTTCTTTATCTTCTGCGTTATCAAGTCGGGCGAGTCACACAAGTTGATGGTGGCCTTAGGATTTGCCTCCGATTTGGACATCTTTTTGGAGGGATCTCGCAGGGACAACACACGAGAGGCATCACCATCCTCAATAATGGCAGTGCACACAGGGAAGGTCTCGCCATAGCGACCGTTATAAGTTCTGGCCAAGTGCTGGGCCAGCTGAATGTGCTGAATTTGATCAGCGCCCACAGGAACATGTGTCGCCCTAATGGAAAAACGAATAACAAGTACTAAAATAAGTAAGCCTGAAACATTAGGTTAAAGACGACCATTATTGCATATGGCAACCAATTTGCATGATTAAAAGATAGTGCATACAGATATTTAACGTAATTTTGTACTTAAAAGATGTAAGGCTGAACCAAAATAAATAGATAGATATTTACTTGTAGAGCATGATGTCGGCTGCTTGGAGAACCGGGTAAACGTACAATCCCAGAGGGACATCCTTAAGAAGGCGGGATTTCTCCCGGAACTGCGGGAGTTGAGCCAATCGCGGCATGGTTGTCATGGAGCTAAGGATCCAGTTGAACTCAGCGTGCGCGGCAACTGCGGACTGGACGAAGAGCGTGCTTTTGGTGGGATCGATTCCACAGGCGAGCAGTGTGGCGGCCATGGTGAAGATGTTCTCTCGCAGAAGCGGCGGATTGTGGGGCATGGTAATAGAGTGCAAATCCACAATACAGACGGTGACATCGTCACGGGCATTCTGCAGCTGCACCCACTTGCGCACGGCGCCGAGATAGTTACCCAGATGCAGGGAACCCGTGGGCTGGATGCCACTGAAGATCTTCCTCGGCCAACGGCTGTTATGCTGGATTGGGGTAAAACATTAGAGTGTGTTATGTAAACTAATTCTACGAATTTACTCACGTCCTCGTAGCCACTCTCTCCGGTATTACCATGGGTCTGCTGCTTGTTGCCACCCGTCACCTGGGCCGTCGCAGAGGGCGTTCCAGCTGTCCTACTGGCCAATCCCGGCAAGAAACTCCTAGCCTGAATGCAACGGCGCTGAAAATGCACAGCAGTCGGTTCCTTTTTGGCCACCTTAGACAGGCTGCGACTTAACTTGCCAAATCGGAACATTGCAATCAGCTATGAATTTTGTACCCCAAAACCTTTAAAAAAAAATATTGGGAATAATGCGGAATAATGTGAGAACAAAGCCCAAAAATAAATTATTTGTTTGAAACGGCCTAAATTTTGACACTGAGCGTTCGCGAGCGTTGCCAGATGGTTTTCGAAAAGCCGGTGCGACAGCTGTTAACAGTGATGCTCAGCTTGGCGACTTTGTCGCTAAAACGAGAATGAGCAAAAAGCTACTTTAAGATTTCGATATCGCTAGATTTGGAAATCAATTGAAACTATTCAAACACGTATTAAGTGGTGAAAGATTATGCTCAAATAACTTGCCAATAAATTTTTAAATGAAGTGAATTATTCAATTAATTATTTTTTTTCAAAAAACACCCTATTCACGGCTTTTTACACTTTCCATAACTTTTAGCTTGACAATTTTTAAACTAATTGTTTGAAGGTAAATAATCCCGACACCAATTTATAACAAAATAAATTATTAAAAACTGGAAGCCTAATTTCCCATTCTTCTTTTAGCTAGTAACTTTATTAGTTGTGCTACAGAAAATCAAACGACAATGGACAAGGATTCATCTACTGAAGGGGAGTATCGAGTTTTCAAAGTGTGTTGTATTTATTCTATCTTAATACACATATTACATTGCAATTAACGCCTGGCGCCATTACCATTATTTATATTTTCCACTTTTCAGTTTCTACATTGAGAGTTACAAATATGCGGAGACTGTCGTTTCGGCCGTCAGGATAATTTTTCGAATAGGGGTTATCCAAAGATTTCAAACGCGGTGCAAAATTCTTCACTATCTGGCAGGGATTGGGAAGTGCTTAGAAATTGATGGGTTTGCCAAAGGCAGCTGCCACATTAGCCTCACGCAAGGCTTCGGCACATGTCTAAAAGAAAAAGAGAGTGTGCATTAGACTCGAAACATTCTAATAGGAAGCAAAGTGATTCTGAGCTACAACAGATTCGTGATCACTTACTGGATGCGCATGACAAACACGGGCAACATCCTCGGCAGCCGCTCCGTACTCCATGGCCAGCACAGCCTCGTTAATCAACTCGCCAGCACTAGGTCCGATGATGTGGGTTCCCAGGACCTTATCGGTGGCCTGATCGGCCAGAACCTTGACGAAACCGTCGGTTTCGTTGTTGGTCTTGGCACGAGAGTTGGCCAGGAAGGGGAACTTGCCAACCTTGTAGGCTACGCCCTCCTGCTTCAGTTGCTCCTCGCTCTTGCCCACCCACGCGACCTCGGGATGCGTGTAGACCACACTGGGCACGCAGTTGTAGTCGATGTGCACGTGGCCTCCGTTGATGCCCTCAATGGTGATGAGGCCCTCATCTTCAGCCTTGTGCGCCAACATGGGTCCGTGAATGCAGTCGCCGATGGCGTATATGTTGGGCACCACAGTTTGGAAAGTGGCGTTGACGGGGATCCTGCCGCGGTCGTCCTTAACAATGCCCACAGCCTCGAGACCCAGACCTTCGGTGTAGGGACGACGTCCAACACTGACCAGCAGGGCGTCGCATTGAATCTCCTCTTTCTCGCCAGACTTTGCATTCTCAACGGACACGGTGACGTTGTCGCCGCTGCGAGAGGCAGCCGTCACCTTGGTGCCCAGCTTGAACTTAAGACCCTGCTTAATGAGCACCTTTTGGAACGTCTTGGAGACTTCGTTATCGATGCCCACGCCGCCGATCGTGTCCATGAACTCAATGGCAGTGACCTCAGCGCCCAGACGCGACCATACCGAACCTAGCTCCAGACCAATGACACCGGCGCCGATGACAACCAGATGCTTGGGCACCTTGGCCAGTTTCAGGGCGCCAGTGCTACTTACAATAACTTCCTCGTCGATCTGTGAAGATTTTGAATAGCATAAATAATTAAGCGTGTGGTAGAGCTTTGGCACTTACTTCAATGCCAGGGAAGGGGGTAACCTCCGAGCCGGTGGCGATGAGGATGTTCTTGGTCTTGACCGTCTCTGTGGAACCGTCGGATTTCTTAACCTGCACCTCGTTGGGATTGACGATGCTGCCGAAGCCCGTCAGCTGTGTGACCTTGTTCTTCTTGAAGAGCATGGCAATGCCACCGGTCAAAGCCTTCACAGCGTTTGACTTTTGACCCATAAGCTTTTCCAGATCCAGACTAACGCTGCCGCAACTGATGCCACGGCTCTCCAGATCCCCGGAGTGTGCCATGTGGTAGTAGTGGGAGTTGTTCAGCAGAGCCTTTGAGGGAATGCAGCCAACATTCAAGCAGGTGCCGCCCAGAGTGGCCTCCTTTTCCACGCTGACCGTCTTCATGCCCATCTGGGCGGCCTTGATGGCGGCCACATAGCCACCGGGTCCGGAGCCAATCACCACGATGTCCGCCTCGTGGGTGCTGGAGTAGCAGCGGGCGTTAAGGGCACCCAGAATGGCGGCATTGGTGCGCAGAGGAGTCTGTAAAGAAGACAGATTACTACATGTTGTGCCACCTTATCATTTATCACGCCAGTCGCACGCATGTCGCACTAACTTTCGGCCGACTATCAGCTGATAATTGGCCCAATTAGCGACCTTGAAAACGGGGCCAAACAAATCCCCCAAACGCCAGTGATTCACCCACTGGGATCATATGAGCACTGCAGGTGATCCAAGTGCATTTTCCAGCCTTTTCCTGCCCATATCTCGACCCCCTCGGTGAGGTTAGATTGCATAACTTGAGGGGCGATGGCGTTTGGGGAATCGGTTATGTCTCCCATTCCTTACCTTGGCTACTGCCGAAACAACATGACGGAGCGTGAACTGCATTGCTGGTGCGGGCGAGTTATGGAGATAATCGTTATTTAACTACAAACACAGCACTAGTTTGATGTGTTTTTCCGACTGTTTTTCGTGTTGTGGAGCTCGGAGCGGTCGCAGGGCTGGCGATGTGCACTCGATAGTGGTCATATGATGGCCAGGGAGTTATCGATTGTCTTGGAGATTTTCCACTCTGTTGAAATGAGAAATTATAGAAAATTTTCAGATTGTAAAGGTTGATTTAAAAAATATTTATTTGATGATCGTTCAAAATAGGATATGTCCGTACTCAATAGCTAGTTCCCAAATATTTTCATTTTATGGGTCATTTATAGAATATGTGTGAAAAAATTTTTATAATTTTAGCTACCATTAATTTATATTCTTGTTATTGTTAGATATTATTTTTTAAAAAATATATGTAACCGTATATATTTTAAAGATTTCGTACACCCAAAATAAACAGATACGACTACAATATTGCCCTATATTAGAAAGACCATTGGAGTTTCAATTTTGTAGAAGGTATTTCTTTTTATACCATTTTCTAAAATAAACGGATTATTTTGAATGTGTGTGAAATAATTCAAGTCTTCTATTTATAGAGGTAATCAAAAATATATTATACGATGAATATCGATAGTTTGCTGCACAACCCTGTGTGGTATTCCCCAGTCCTGATATTTCCCAGCACACTTTTGGTATTTTTGCGGCGCTTTCAACTGGCGTTTTCGTTAAAGCATCAGTATTTCGCTAACTGTCGCAATGCGGTCACACTGGTTCGCGGACACAACAAGATGGCGAGACTTGCTCCCGAAATCTGTTAGAAAACGCCACAAGAGCAGATAATTAGTTAAGTATTCGACCAGAAAAGAGTTCGCCGAAGTGCCGGGCAGCCGCGGCGTATTTTGCAAAGTGTGTGCTTGGCCAGCGTAGCCCGTGAGCCGCGACAGGCGATACCTTCTGCTGGCCTTGCCTTGTTGCTGTGCCCGTGTGTGCGTCAGCGTGTGCGGTGCGAGTGTGTGCGTGGGCTGCCAAGAGGGCCGAGAATCGCTGAGTTTCCAAGATGATGAGCAACTACGGCAACATGATGGACTCACCGAAGTCATCGCCCCACGGCGGCGGCCGATCACCCGTGGTGGCACGTCAAGACTCCTCCGGCACCCTGAAAACGACCATTTCGCTGGGCAAGACGCCTACGATCATACACACGGGACCATTCTACTCCATGAAGGAACCGCCCGCCAAGGCAGAACTTACCGGCGACAAGGATCTCATGACCGAGTACGGACTGCACCACACACTCACCAAGTTTAAGGAGAAGAAGTTCAAAGAGTCGCTGGCTTCGTTTCTTCAGAACATCCCCGGCATCAACGACCTCATCACGCATCCCGTGGAGAACAGCACGCTGCGTAGCGTGATCGAAAAGCCGCCCATTGGTGGGAAGGAGCTTCTTCCGCTGACCCCCGTGCAGCTGGCCGGATTCCGCCTGCATCCTGGACCGGTTGGTGTTACCAATATGTCTTTATTTCACTTGCTCTGCCTTACGAATGACGAATGTTTAGCTACGGCACATTAAATAGTTCAAAACACTTTTAGACGCTACTGCACTGCTTTGCGACTCCATACATTCGCTTTCATTATTTTAGCCTTTCAAATATCAAATGTAAGGTTTTAAATGATCAAATAATTCGATGCATTCAACTATGCGTACAGCCTAATCCTAAATCCTGCACAAACTTATGTATATACCAAAGACAAAACTACTATAAAATTTAATTTTGTTGAGCCTTTTCTTGTCATTTATTTCTATGATCACCGTTGTATTATGCGCTTGTATTGTATTTTCACTAAATTATGACCAAAACTACTTTGAAATACAAATAATTTAGTCATTAATTTATGTTCAAAATAATTTGATTCAAAATTAGTTAAAGAAGTAAAAGGAATTAATGTTGGTTTTCCTTTAAAGCTCTTTTTGTACAGGGTATATTGAGTCAGAAGCTTGCAACGCAGTGAAGGCGACATTTTCAACCATATAAAGTGTATTTATTGTTAATCAGTATGAACAGCCGAATTGATATAGCCGTGTCCGTCTGTGCGTTTCTTCGCAGCCTAGTCTCTCGGGTTTAAAGCTATCTGCATTAAAGGAGTTTAAATGTTTAAATTTTAATTCCACGTTGTGCATAAGTCGAAGCGCTCCATATAGGACCACAATATCATATTGCTGCTATATGAATATTTGGAAAAAAAAAACGGCTTGCCGAATCCACGTTCATTTCTTGTTTGTAATAGTTTTTGCTTATTTATTTATTGGTATTCGATATTCTGAGCGGTTTTTAATCACTCTATACCTAATATATAAAGAACAGATAAATAAATATATGTTTAATACACGCCTTTCTAGCAGACTGATCGTTTTTCTGTACAGAATTAAAAAATAATTGTTTTACATGATACTAGTCCTATATTCTAGAATTTATCCTATTCTGATGTCCATTTCAGCTGCCGGAACAGTATCGTACCACATATGTCACACCTGCGCGTAAACACAAAAACAAACACAAAAAGCACAAACACAAAGACGGCGTAACCACGGGACAGGAATCCACGCTGCTCGGTAAGCTATCTGCTGAATTATTGGTCAACTCGATCACACATAACCCAATGATTACAACCTTGCAGACTCGGCCGGCCTGGAGACTTACGAGAAAAAGCACAAGAAGCAGAAACGCCACGAGGACGATAAGGAGCGCAAGAAGCGTAAAAAGGAGAAGAAGCGTAAAAAGAAAAACCAGAGTCCCGAACCGGGCGTGGGTCTGCTGCCCGGAGGAGCGGGCTTGGGCGGAGCAGCAGGTGTAATGGGAGCCACTAGTCTGGGATCGCTGGGAGGTGGACCTGGCCCCGGGCTGTCCAGCCTTAGTGCCAGTATGGGACCTGGCGTTGTGGGGAGCATGAACAGCTTCTCCTCATCGATGCAGATGCAGCAGCAACAGCAGATGCCCATGCAGCAACAGCAGATGTCAAGTGGTGGTCTTCTGGGATCTGTGCTGGGCACGAGCGGCGGTCCAGGTGGCGGTGGCGGAGGAGGAGGCGGGGGTGGAGGCGGCGGTGGGAGCCTGCTTATGTCGCAGTTCTAGGCAGGATCCTTTAGCAAAATAGACTTGGCTCATTACCTCTCATCAGCAGGCGCACCCCAAATGGCAACATAAAAAAAAAAAATGCAGAAGGACCTCGGTCCTTTAAATGCAATTTTCTCGATATCGTTTCGTGTCCTAGATATTAATTTATGATTATCGTAAATGTAAAATAGTTTATTTCTGTAATTAGCCAACAATTTATCGTTCGTTTTTCGCGCTAGCTTAATGAGATTTATTTAAACGCAAGTTATGGTACAAAACGCAAAACGTTTTCGCTCTCGATTCCAACTCTTCCCTCCGCATGAACACAAACACCTCCACCCCCCCACTAAAATCAAAAAAAAAAAAAACGCTGCTTTGCAACCCTTTTTATTTTGCTTACCAACCTCGTAACGTGTAGGGTCAGTATTTCAATTAAATTTCTGCAATGGTTTGTTCTTCCAGCAAGTTTTTAAACACAAAAGAAAGCTGAGATTCAACAAAATAAAAATGCCTGTACTATAAGTAATTAATTTTAGTGATTAGGCACATAAAACAATAAACAAGCATACAAATGATCGAAGTGTGTGTTTCCAACGGTTCTGCATTTTGTTTAATATAAACATTTCTTTCAACGAACTTCTGCGTTCAAGAAGCCTTTAAATTCAAATCTGCCGCCAAACACTTGTTAGCACTCTGTTGACTTTAACATGGCGTCCTAACAGCAACGCTGAAATCTGACAGCTACTAGCATAGCCTTAACAGGCGCCAACAGCTGTTTTAATTCTCAGGGAGTTTCTCGCAATCGAGAGTCAATTAATAAATTAAAAGTGATGAGTGGAGGATAGTCGCCGCTGCAAGGCCATAAATGAATTGTAACTTCGCCAGATTCTCGCGTCAGGCAGCTATCAACATGTACAAACAGTCGTGCACCAATCTCCTGGAATTGTCCTCCGCCAAGGTGACCGAGTGGATATCAAGCTTCGACAGTGTAATAACCGACTGCGATGGTAAGTGGGTGGTGGGGTGGGCACACTCCCAACTCGCCATAGGATTCCGCCCAGGAAGCTGCGTTACATAAAGATATGTGTGTACCACATTTTGCCCAAATACGTCAGCAACGAATTGTTTCTGTGTTGTGGCTGCGTCGTGAATTTCAATGTCAAAGTGTGAAGTGCGTGATATGGCGGGAAGTCGACTTTCGGATGCCCTCGTAACTTATGAGTCATAATTAATTTTAGGGTTGGCAGTGAAGAGCAGTTAGATAAATACCCTTAGTATTGAATAGCTTTAAATATAGTAATATTTGTCAATTTTATTAAATGTATAGAAGGATCCTTGTTTTCCATTTTATTTGTTATTTCTACGTAATAATGCTTAAATCATAACCGTTTTTCTTTTTTTTTTTCCTATTTTGGGAAGAGAAGTATAACCTTGAATGATAATTTAATTCCCAGTAATTTATCAACTTTAGTAATTAATTTTCCATAATAGTTTATCAGTGAACTTGCTAAAAGGTAATGACTTATCCTCTCCAGGTGTTCTTTGGATCTATGGCCAGGCACTGGAGGGCTCTGTGGACGTGATGAACCAGTTCAAGGCTATGGGAAAGTCCATTTACTTTTGCACTAACAACTCGACGAAGACCCGCCCGGAACTTCTCAAGAAAGGCGTCGAACTGGGATTTCACATCAAGGAGAATGGTATTATATCGACGGCCCATGCCACAGCAGCGTATTTGAAACGCCGGAACTTCAGCAAGCGGGTATTCGTTATCGGAAGCGAGGGAATCACCAAGGAGCTGGACGCCGTGGGCATTCAGCACACTGAGGTGGGACCGGAACCCATGAAGGGATCACTCGCCGAGTTCATGGCACAGCATTTAAAACTGGATACGGACATCGGAGCCGTAGTTGTTGGCTTCGACGAGCACTTCAGTTTCCCCAAGATGATGAAGGCCGCTTCGTACCTTAACGACCCTGAGTGTCTGTTCGTGGCTACTAATACGGATGAGCGTTTCCCCATGCCGAACATGATAGTGCCCGGCAGCGGGAGCTTCGTGCGGGCCATTCAAACCTGTGCGGAGCGGGATCCAATAGTGATCGGAAAGCCCAATCCTGCCATTTGCGAGTCTCTGGTCAGAGAGAAGAAGATCGATCCATCGAGAACTCTGATGATCGGAGACCGAGCCAATACGGACATACTCCTTGGCTACAATTGCGGATTTCAGACCCTGCTCGTGGGCTCCGGAATCCATCAGCTGAAGGACGTGGAGCGTTGGAAGCTAAGCAAGGATCCCGAGGAGAAGAAGCTCATACCAGATGTGTACCTGCCCAAGTTGGGAGATCTATTGCCATCGATCGTGAACAGCCTGGCGGGCTTGAAATGAATTAGTAATCAGTAAATAGTAAATAGTACGGACATGTGTTTGTATATGTGTTACATTTAACGTCAATAGACAGGACAGATTTAAATATTTAACGCAAATTTATAGTACAATTTACACCACAGAACAAGGAATATTTAAATAAATTCAGAAGCATTTTGTGAGACGGATGACTTAATCGATATGCCCGATTCCATTTCTTATTGAGAGCGAGCTTTGTGTGAAACGGAGATAGCAGGTTCTCCCCAATTCTCAATCACCGTGAATCGTAATCAGCCAGCCCGCCGCCGATTTAGTCGAGTCGCAAGCATTTGGCGGAGCGGTCCACGGAGCAAAATGTCCAGAGGCAGTGCTATCGACTTGACCGGCCTATCCGCGGTGCAGGTGAGCGAGTGGCTCCAAAGTTTCGACACGGTTCTCTGCGATGGCGACGGTGAGTCTCAAGGGCGCCACAGGTGCCACAGAGAGTAGTACACTGGGCTTGGATGTATTGCAAGTATGGAGCTTTTGCCAGAGTTGTCGCTTCGCCGAAATATATAAATCGGTGGCGATTTACATGGATGAGGGAAAAGCTTGGCGATCGCGCTAGCTAAAACTTCACACTTCACCATCATGATAATTTATTAATAATATATTAAGTAAGATAACTTGAAACGTTAAAACATTAGTTATTGGAAATACTTGATTGATATTTTTAGGATTTGGTTTATACTTGTCAAAAAAACCATTCTAAGCTGAAGTAATCTTTGCAGATCTGTGAAATTTCATTTGTGGGTTGTAATTAATTTAAAATAAAGGTACAACTCCTGTTAAATTGAATATTTTTGAGTTACTTAGAAAATACCTCCATGCTCTCTCAATCCAAACGTTCTCAAATGAAACCGAATTAAATATCCATTAAACGCACAGGCACAATTTGGCAGGATGACACGGCCATCGCGGGTGCTCCCGAGGTGGTGAATGCCCTGCAGGATCGCTTCGGCAAAAAAGTGTACCTGATTACCAACAATGGACTGAAGACGCGGCAGGAGCTGTTTGAGCGCTCCCAGCGCCTTGGCTTCCATTTACCCAGCGACCGACACATCTTATCGCCTACGGCAGCCATCGCCGACTATCTGGTTGCTAGTCCGCAATTCGACAGGGCGCGGCACAAGGTCTATGTGGTGGGCAATGCGGCCATCGCTCGGGAATTAAGGCAGCACGGAATCGACAGCTTTGGAGCCGGAGGAACAGATGAACTGCCTCCGGGCGACAAGTGGCCGGACTTTGTGGCACGAGAGTTTGGAAACCCAGAGACGGCGAGGGACGTCGGCGCCGTGGTGGTCGGCTGGGATGAGTACTTCAGCTACTGCAAAATGGCCCGCGCCTGTCACATTCTCTGCAGTAATCCCGACGCCGCATTCTTTGTTACCAACCGGGATGCCGTGCACAAGTATCCGGCCTTCTGTATCCCCGGCACTGGGGCCTTTGTGTCCGGAATTGAGGCCTGTTCGGAGCGGGAAGCCCTCGAGATGGGCAAGCCAAACCCTTTGGTGCTTGAGCCCCTAACCAAGGCTGAGAAACTACGTACCGAACGAACGCTTATGATTGGTGACTGGTAAGCGGGATTAACACATCTGCTGAAGCTTTTCTAACGAGTTTCTCCCGTAGCCTCAAAATAGATGTCGGTTTCGCCAGCAATTGTGGCATGCTATCGCTTCTGGTGGGCACGGGTCGATACAGTAATCTCTCGGATGTCCAGCGGGAAAAAGACAAGCTGGCCCAGCCAGATTTTTATCTGTCCCGGCTGGGCGATCTGCTGACCCTTTTGTGAGCCATAAATCCAAGCGACTCCCGTGCAGCAATCTGCTCGTTATCAACTTCTTAATTCGACTTTTATTTGGCTTTAGTTGGTGTGTTTACACATAGTTGTACATATTGTTCTGCCGGCAAGTAACATTCTCTAATGAATACTTTCTTTACATACATATATAAGAGTGGGTGAAAAATTGTTGGGCCTGAAAGTTATCTATGAACAAAACGGCTTTAAACTGTGTATGAGAATAAAGTGTGTAGCAAATAAATTTTGAAAAACGGCAATGCATTTTGCACAAATAAATCACTAACCATTTGCGAATATTTTTTTATGTATGTGTGTGGCCCCAAATAAATTTCAGGCCCACTAGCTTTTCTCTGAATTAACAATATAGGCTGAGTGACTTATTAAAATACTAGCTTATCCTCTATTACTTGCCCGGACAGAAAAGCAGAGACGGCAATTCAAACTCTTTCCCTATCTTCTGGTGATCCCATTTAAAAATTGTAATTTGCAATGAACTAAACAAATTGCTCAACTAAGTGCAAGTCCTTGTGCTGTGACTTTTAAATAAATCGTCAATCAACAAGAACTATTTAAGACACACACATAATCGAAACTATTTAACTTATTGGTTACCTGTACAACAAATTTACAGAACACCCATCGATGTGAGCTGCTAATTGTCAAAACAAAGCAAGCAAGTATCACAGAAGTTATATTTTTTGGCGGTTTGCTTCCGTGTAAAATGGAAATAACTAAACACCTGATCTCGAAAATTTGTTACCATACTTTGACCTTTGAAGCCCGCCATTTTCAAGGGTGTCCGTTTTAACAAGTCCTCTGATATGTTAGAGTTGATTCTGTTTTCTGTACTTTAGCAATTTAGCGCGAAAAGAAATCCCATAAAGCGTTGTCACATTTGGTAGCAAATCAGAATAAGAGCGTAACTGAATCTCAAAAGTTAAACCCATCCCCTGCTTTTCCCGATCCCCCAACTGATTCCCCCCCACGCGTTGTCCTAGTCTGATTTTAAACGATGCATCTGCAAGGATTTCCTTAAGTGCATCGTTTTCCATCAGCTTTAGTTGTAAGTTTGCTGCCGGCGATCGCTTAATGATTTCTTCGAGGACCCTGTCTAAATTGCTAAAAGGTAACATCAGGTGCTCGCATCCGGCGTGTTGGCCAAAATCCTTGAGCTCCTCGACAAATAGCCGTACCAGTAGAACACGTTGATAAGGATGAATAGCAGTGGGAAGACGATCCGCGAGGCGCGATCGATCTTGGACACGGAGTTGTACTGTGGCGTTCGTTTGCCCTTCCTTCGGGCCTCCATCTCCTCGCGTCGGTAGTAGGACATCCTGCGGCGACCTCCAGTTGGAGGACTAATCCGAGGAGCCTGTGCAGCAGCTTGTGCCGCCGCAGCTGCCGCAGCTGCCGCAGACGTGGTCGGCGCCTCGTTGGCCCTCAGCTGCGTCTGCTCGTCATCCTCATCCTCGTCGGAGTCGGCACGGGGCGGCTTTCTTCTCCGCCGCCAGTCGAAGAGACCCAGAAGCTTCATGCTCCACAGGCCATGTCGCCTATTCCTGGGCCTCCGATTCCTGGAGGTAAGCATACCCAGTCGAGTGGGAGGCGGTGGCATGCTAATCGCGCACATGGACAGTGGAATGACCTCGTAGATCTTGGACTCTGTGCTACCACGAAACTCCGAAGTAAGTGGTTCCGTCTCCGATTCCGCGGAATCCGAGTCCAACTCCTCGATTATGAAATAGCACTCCCCCGATCCGTACTTGGTGTAGTAGTGCACCACGGCAAACTGCAGGATTGTAGCGAAGATGAAGCCAAACGAGAGGAACACGAAAAAGTCCAGGGCCGTGGGATAGGACACCTTGGGCAGATCCGTGCGAGCCTCCAGTCCGAGGAAGGTCATCGTCAGCACGGTAGTAATGCCGAGGGAAACCCGATCAGCAGTGGCCTCGCGGTTCAGCCAGAAGGACACCCAGCTGAGGACCACCAACAGGCAGCAGGGACCGTACACCTGGATCAGGAAGTTGCCCATATGCCGCTGCAGGTGGAAGTTCACCATCAACATCGAGTACTCCGCTGGAATGTATAGAGTATGAAACTTTTTTAATTTAATTCCAATTCATCGAATATATTTGACTTACACGGGTGATTAGTTTCCAGGGTAATAGTGCCACTTAGACCGGTGGACGACCCCGAGCCACCAGTTGCATCCCTTCCGGTACCGAAGGCTCCTTTGTCCAGTTTGAGTCCCGTGCCGCGGACATGCTGATTCTTTGCGGCCGGACCGGCAAAAGTGGTCATTACCTTGCTGGTGGGTCGCGGTGGATCCTTGTTGTTGAATGGCCGACGTTGCGGTCTTGGAGCAGCCGCCTTGTAAACAATGTCTGTTAAATTTCCAGCCGGACAGTCGACCAAATCGAATTGGGACAGCTTCATGTCCTCGGCAATGGCGACGGGTGGTCTCTCCTTGTTCCAGCGGTAGATGACATCGGACGTTGTGTAGCCAACTGTTTCGATTGTTTTCCAGATTAGTGCAACAGATTCTGGACAAATGTCTATTAAAAGGGTGACATGCGGAACTCAGATGTGTCCTGAACTGTGACTTTTGGGCAGTACATTCGAGCGTACATTTACCGAAAGCCACAATAAGGGAACCGAACTTAGAACACCCTGTCAGGCTATTAATTGAAATGAAGTAGAGTAGAGCATAAACGCTGATCAACCAATAATTAGTTTTAAAATATAACAAACAAGATATTACTCTCATTTTCACCAGTTTCAATAACTACATAACACTCTAGTGCGCACAACAGCTTGAGGTTTATTTGGGACTGTACGTCTAGTCACTTGCAGAACCTATCTCACTACGAGATCCCATCCCCCGGGTTGCCTTCCAATCACTGCCTCAGGTGTGCTCGGTTATTTTATTTTGATGCTGCTGGAGCTGCTGCTCCAAAATGCACAAATTGCCAAACATTGCGCCATATGCGGGAATCGGTTTACCCACCACCCAAATCCGCATCCTTCATCCTGCAAACCGCCGCCCGATCTGCCGCCTCTGTTTGGCAATCGCGCTGACTTTGGCAATATTTTCAGTTCGCTCGCATCAAATGGGAAATTGTCAACATTAAGCGGGTGGCAATGTACATTCGAGTATGTATGAGGGCGCGGAGGAGTAGATGGAGGGGTAATTGAATTCTTGACTGCTTCCATCCATTCCAGCATTATTCACAACAAATCGGAAGTAATAATACATTTCTAGGTTGGGTGGCGGCTTGTTCATTTGCGATAAGCTGCAAAGGCAGTTAGAGCGTTTCGCAGACATGGCAGGAGACACCTTTCCCATCACCGAAAAATGTATACAAGTATTTAACTAGTACCATTGCCTTCATTTACATTGCATACTTTCTGTTTTGCATTTGAATAGGAGGAAATGTGATGGAAATTCATCAAATGCAAGGTCTTCATTTTTTTGTAACCGAAAAATAATGGATGTGTCATGACCAGCAGAAAATCTGCTTCAGAAATCTGGTTCAAGAGAGGACATTTTTGGGATATGCTAATTAATTGCGATTTTGGTATGCAGGAAGGCTAACTATTATTTTAAATTTAACAAGCTTTAATCCTTCTGTGCAGTCAATTATTCATAGGTCTTCAAGATTGTGTGTTTTGCTGAAAATTGCGTAATATGCTGGACTATTTCTAGTGCATTTTTATAGCAGTGTACACGAGGGTTATACTAACAAATATTTCGCAGAAAATTGTCTTGTGTTGCTCACAGGAATCCTTTAAGTTTCCCTAAGACTAAATTCTTTTACAATTTAATACATATAGTTAAGACTTAATCCTAATTTACTATTGGCGCTATACTGAGATATTATTTAAAAATTGATGCCGTGACTATTATTTTTTTTTAAGAAGTTGTTTTAATATTCTTTAGTTAAAATCGCCGCTCGAATTAGCTACCGTTTACATATAAAAATTTTTATTATTAATTATCTGTAATATATCTATTTTTTGGTACCCAGGGAACACCACGGGGAGGACATTGCAATTGTAATGGGGTCGTATATTTATATGACCTTCGAGTCGACTTGAAATAATAAATGTTAAACATAAAATATTCCCATGTTTATGTATGTATGTATGTATGTATGCATGTATGTATGTATGTGTGTATGTATGTATGTAGTGTATGTATGTATGTATGTAGTGTATGTATGTAGTGTATGTGTTACTTGCACAAAGTAGTAAAAATTGTCTTAATTAAAGCCTGAAGAATGTTTAACGTACTGTTGGAACACATAGTTATTGCCGCTTTTAATATTTGCTGAGGAAAAATATTTTCTTGTAGCCCTATAATTCCCAACTAGTTCTAGCGAAGACGGTAAGGCATGTCTTCTAATTTCAAAATATTTCAGTAACCTCTCTTACCGGTCGAGCAGTGAGTGTAGTGTATGTGTAGTGTATGTACCGGTGTATGTATGTATGCATGCATGCATGCATATGTGTGTATGTATGTATGTATGTATGTATGTATGTATGTATGTATGTATATATTTATGTATGTACGTATGTATGTACGTACGTATGTATGTATGTATGTATGTATGTATGTATGTATGTATGTATGTATGTATGTATGTATGTATGTATGTATGTATGTATGTACGTATGTATGTATGTATGTATGTATGTATGTATGTATGTATGTATGTATGTATGTATGCAGGTGGTGTACGTGTTACTTGCACAAAGTAGTAAAAATTGTCTTAAATAAAGCCTGAAGAATGTTTAACTTACTGTCGGAACACATAGTTATTGCCGCTTTAAATATTTGTTTAGGAAACATATTTTCTTGTAGCCCTATAATTCCCAACTAGTTCTTGTGAGGACTGTAAGGCATGTCTTCTAATTTTGAGTCGCAAATGTCACATGTGTGTTTGCATTGAACCAAATACTCGTCGTCTCCGGCACAAAGGTTCTATAAAAACCTATCTGTTTGGTCCATTGACATTAGTCTCTGATCTCTAACAAGCCTCTGATCTCTGATCCTCCAGAGCAGCCAGGTTTCCACCGAATTCGCAGGACGGTCAACTAAACTTCGATCTAAAATAAATGCCAATATTCAGATGAATGTTCATGGCTGAAACGTTTCATAGAAGCTGCCAATATGTTCAAATTTCTGCCTGCTGCCTTGAATGCAAATAAACCTACCAGCCTCGATATACGATATATGTCGCCTCTCTATAATAAGAGTGCTTAATCATGTACTTGGAGCACATATCCCCCATCACCGATTTGGCTGTACAAAAGGACTTGAAACAACCGTGTCGCTCGTTTGGCATGAAGGACTTTTATACAAATCTGGACGGACCGCACATTTTCTGCGCTTGTGGACAGCTGCCCAGCCACCCACCAAAGACCCCAAACATGCCGGCGTACCTCAAGGATGCGTCCTGAGGCCATTACCTTACTCTATTTTCACCTCGGACCCACCCAAGTTTAATAGGCGGCTACTTGCGCGGCGGCGCCATGCGCTAAATGCAACGCATATACGAATTTGCAGACCAATTACAAGAATACTTACATACTTATAAACAATGGACTGAAAAGAGGCGCATATGAGTCAACACGGACAAAGCACTGCATTTTGCTTACAAACTACTTAAGCTGTACCAGGCGCATTGTATTGCAAGAGTATTTCCTAATGACACCTGCACGTTACTCCCCCATTCCAACTCTGGCACCTACACTGTACTTGGCACCTACACTGGCCAGAAGACTCGCTTTCAACTCATTACGGACTTCTTTAATTATTCCCACATGACCTAGCATCACGCTCCATATACCCACAACTATTCAAGAATACGTGCACTTTGTAAGTTCAGCACCACATTAAATGCGAAATCCAACATTTTGGGACTACTTTTGACCCCGAAAAGTGGTAAGAGTGTCTAGGAATATATTTTTTAGTTTTGATTACTAATTCCATTACTATTGCCGTTGGAAAATTATCGCAAATACTGATATTTTCACAAAAACTATTCGAAATGGTGGTGGCACTTTGAAGTAAGGTGCGTTTCCGCATCAGAGAAATGAGAAAAGCCCAACTTGGCAACTCTGTGTAGGGTTCCCAAGCCAAACCACATTTGGATATCCCATTAAACCATTACCTCATCTAATCCGCTGCCAGCATTCAGACGCATGGAACCACTTGAATATTTCCGGTCCTTGTGCCATTTCTTTCTTTCTTTCATTTCCTCTTCAATTCACAACATATCTCACTTCACATTTCTTGTCGCCAACGGTTACTCGAATCCAATCCCTTTCCATCCAATGTCATGGCATTCAGCTTAATCCCCACCCCAGGATTCATTGTCCTTCGTACCCAACAAGTGGACATTTTGCCGGCACGAGAAGAACAAATCACATCAAAGCGCAATAAGCAGCCATTATGCATAATTATACCACAGAGCTGAGTTTCTTCACATGCCACTTGGCAATCTTTCGAAATTCTTTCGTACTCACATGAACCGAATTTCAGAGGACACTTTTGTATGTCCATTGGAAAATCGGCCAGATTCATCGGGCAGCCGGCTTTAATTGTCAGCCGGCTGGAGTACAGCACGCGTCCGTTCTGATAGATCCTCACAAACTTATTTGGCGTGGTAATCGTGTGCAAATAGCTCTGCTTGCCGTTGTAAAAGTACGTATCCGGCTTCCAAATCCGCGCCAACATCGAGACGCTCAGTGCCAGCGTGTCCTGGGCGCCCTCGAATGCGAGACGTTTATCCACCCAGGATTGGCGGAAATAACAGTCCATCGAGTACGTCTGCAATAAAGAAGTCGGCAGACACTGAATTGCAGAACAGTAAGATAGTAAGAAAGTCGGAAAGTCAGACATGGGATGTCACTGCAAATTGAGTTGGGAAGCAGAAATGCTAGGTTGTCAGCTTGTCTATGTGGATTCTTCTCCGAAAACACTTTAAACGCATAAATTCTATCAATTTGAAATGTGTTTCACAACTTTCAACAAGTTAAATTAGCAAACAAATTGTGCAGTTTTATCATAGGATATCAATACCAATAATTTATTATTATACATCAGGTACTTATGTAATCTTACAGTTGAATCAGTTACTAAATGAATAACTTACTAAGATTTGAAATAAATCAAAAGGACTTGCTTATGGAAAATAGTTTTAAAGTATTTTATGGAATTCATGTTGTAATGGTGTAAGTGATTAGATATTTTTTAGTTCATCATACCATGTCAACCTCTGATATTGGTCCCATGCTGCGAACCATTATGTCCACTTCTATAGTGGCTGGAGGTCCTGAAATAAAGTGTAAGTTTGTAGGAAAATAAAATTTGTTGAATGCAAATCCAAGTAAATATTTTGAATACTTCCTCTTTGAATCTAACCTATGCGTTATACAAATGTGTCGAGTAATACGTACTTCAATTGGAAGGCTCATTGTGCCATCAGTACCTTCCTCACAGTTAACTATTGAAGCCTGAGCCCAGTTTAGTTATGGAAATGGGATTTGCTTCAGCAGAAGGCCATGCAATCCAACTATATAATCCCCGTACTCTTCGTATCGGTTTTGTTCAACCATGAATATTCATATGCGCGTCGCAGCCCCCAAATGAAAATGTTAAATGCTCCTCTGTGCGAACAATGACACTTAAGCCGCTTCGCAGACAGTCCCAAACCCTCTGAATCTGTTACCATCCCCAGCTGACACTCATTTTTATCTAGCTTTTCTGCACTAATATGCAATTTTTCAGGCCCTAGATTCGCCTTCTCCCGAAGCCCCCAGGAATTTTTTGTATTTTGCCTATGCGAACAGTTTTTAATGACTTTGCTGCTGAGCTCGCTCGGCAAACATGCGTCGCGCTCGCAGGATGCGGATGTGCATTGCCGCGTATCCTTTGAATCCTCTCCAGCTGGCGCCACATGACGGGGGCGGTGAGCCGAAGGGGGGCGTGCCAGGGCCCATTCTTAATGAAGTGTTAAAAACAATGTAATTTGGTCTTAAGCCGTTGAGCGAAAACAATTTTCGCCGCGTTGACCAAAATCCATTCCCCAATTGAGTGAATGGCATTTTAAATTTCGAAAATATTTAAATTTTTATTGCCTCAACCATTTGCGAGATTGAAAACGAATCGAATTTCCTTATCCGTTTTGGGCAATTGGATGCTCGAAAAAGGCAATAAAATTGTTTGTGTGTAGGTAAATATTTGTCGGTTTTGACACTAACTATTTACCAAATAAGCTGCGAGGCAATCATCAAGGGAGGATTCATCACCTTGGTGCCGTTTGTGAGTGATGTGTCGCCTTGCAGCGATTTCCGCTTCATTAAATGCTTCCGTTGAGCGGAAAATCTGCGAATCTATGCTGATTACACCCGGAATGGGGAAGGAGTCAAAAGGGTAAACAACACAGGATTTGGAACAGACAGACTGATTTGAGGGTGCCTGCTACTCCAAGTCAGAAATCCTTAGCGTGGTTGTCATAGATCGTATGAACGATGTAAACTTACGTAAGAAGCTCAATCTATTGCAGTTCCAGCTGATGCGGTTACTTAACAACATTCTTTTGATCTCAAAATCGAAGCTTGCTCTTGACCCCCTGACTATGTAATAGAATCAACCTAATTTATCGATATTTCATCCTAATAAATTAAATAAATATACATTTTCCCCCAGATTTCCTGCGACACACTACTCACCACCGAAATCCGGACGTATGCTATTGTCGTAGCCGCGCAGCAGATTGTCCAGTAACTCGGATATATTTGCATGGTTATTGCTCTGGGTGAGCCAGGAGGACGGCAGGGATGAGGACAAGGAGGTGTGGGACTGGGAGCCCATCTCACCCAGGCGGTGGGCATCGCCGCGGCCCTTGATGCTGTCGGCCGAGACGGAGAAGGGTCCTGATCCGGGGCCGATGGACCACGGCCAGGCATTTGGGTAAGTGCACAGCACTAAGAGGCAGCAGCTAATCAAAAGTTTAAATATGCGCAAGCTGGAGCGGTGTCCTTGGTGGCAGGAGAGGCTCCTTGCTGCGATGAGGTCAGTTGATGCATCGGCGGAGCCGGATGCATCTGTTGTTGCTGGCATTGTGCACATATTGTTCGGTTTTGTTTGCTGTTTGTTGTTTGCTCGCTGACTGCAACTATTGTTTAGTCCAAGTCTTCTGCTTCTGCTGTTGTTGCCGGTCTAATCTACACATCCGTTTGTCTAACTTTTGTCACTCCAACTGGCCTCTGGCTCCCGTTGCCATGCCCATTCCCATTCCTATTTTCATTTTCATTCGCATTGCCATTGCCATACCAAATCCCATCGCCATTAAAATTCCCATTCTGGAGGTCCTGCTCCTGCTCCTGCTCCTGCTGCTGATGACAGTGCCTTCTTCCTGCGCTGTGTGTTGACTCGGCTTTGCTCGTATTTATTTTCATTTATGCACCGGAAGTTGCACTCGGGTCGAGAGCAATTGCATGAAGCGTTTTCTTCTTAATTTCTGAGATTCCTTTCAGGCTGGCATTAGTTCCGTTTGTCTTGGCCCGTGTCCACGTCTCCTTTGCGACAAGTTTCCTTAGATTTTTTTAATTGCTGAAACTTGTTGGACTTGCAGTTGGCAGTTTTTGATTGGCCAATTAGCCAGCGGCATTTTCAGCTATCAGTTATCAGCTACGAACTATTAAGATTACAGGCTGTGGCTAATTTGACCGAGTTCACAGTTCTTTGCATTTGTTGATAGGCGTTTTCTTAATAGCTTGCTTGTTTATTAAATTAATCGACTTTACTTGACCGATCGCTCTGTATGTTCCCATGCACAATAATATTTTGGCAGTTTTTATGATTACTGATTAATCCTTGTAATAATTTTTAAGTTAATACGTTAATGCTAACTTTTTCTTTGAGTTTATAATAATAATATACTTCTACTTGGAGGAGCTTTAGAAATACAACTTTTACTGTTTAAATTTATTTAGGCGCCGTCGTGTGGAAACTTATTCCGCAACCTTTCTGAATATCATGTTTTATTAACACCACATTGCGTATGTGTAATCTCGAGTTTAAAAATTGCACGTTTGGGAGAAGTCGAAGATTAATGAGTCCACTCTGAAAAAAAATGAAGTGCATGCTGTACGGCAGTGCTGGTGCTCAGATTCTCACCGTATGCATAATATAAAATTAATCTTCGCTGAACCTTGTCTTAATGGATGGCAAGTAATTAAGATCAACTATGCCGGGGACTCTGAATTCGATGCCGCTGCTGTAACCAGCTCGACAGCCGGGCGATTTGTTAATGAAAAATCAACCGGAAATGTCGAAGGCGGCGAGTGAGTAACGCCGACGTTGGTACCCTGGTCTGATGTCCTCGAGGCTGCACGACATCATCTTATTGAATAATGTGAGAGAGTGGAAAAAACAATGCGACCCCATAACTTAATTATGCCTCACCCACTAACCTAATTTTATGCATGGCCATTGGCCAATGCCGACATCCGGCCAGTGTGCCCACCTCAGCCCACTTCGGCACATCCGGCCCAGGTTGCGATAACTATTTTCAATACTTTGTAGTGGCTCCTCGGCCACTTGGCTATTGCCTTCAGGTCGGCCGTCTGATATCAGCCAGCATCTAATGCATATTTAGCCTCGACGTCAATGCTACTTGCCACTTGATTAGACGCTTGTGTTAGCTAATTATGGCCCAGCCCGAAGGAAACTCGCATTAATTTTGGTTGATTTGTCACGTGGGAAAAGCAAGCCATCACTTTGGCACAATGAGATTAGAGGACAAATTTATTTAGCATTTTCCAAGCCACTAGGACTTTTGAAAGGATTTATTTGGCTGGCGATATGGAATAATTTTTAATCGGTCCATTTGACAAAGAATAATGACAATAATGGTACTGATTTGACATGCCCAATTTATGGAATTTTAAATTATTAGCATAATCGACTGCAACTAAAGCTTAATAAATAAAAAAAGCTTTAAAAATATGTGTACGCTTTTACGTTGCCATTATTTTTTGATTAACTTAAACAGGATCCGAAATCTTATTCCACATAAATTAAGCAGAAGTGCCATAAATTCTTTTTTGTCTGAAATCAGAGCCTCATACTTGGCCTTGTTTGGCTGCTAATTACACTTCACTTTATGTGTTTGATGGCCAAGCTTCGTCAAACAAACAAATTGCTGCCAGAAGCACAAACATCAGCCGACATCCCAGAAACACGACCCACCGAAGTCTGGACGTCCCTTTTCGTTTATAATTTCTAGCTTCGCTTAGCCGCCATCGTTTCCCACGCCTTTTGTTAACTGGTGCGAACGGGTTAAAGTTAAATGTAGAAATACCCACTTTCGCCTTGCTAACAATTTTCCTCGGTTTGGCAGAGAGCAACTTGAGCACGTTCAACGCATTTTCTCATCAGCGTCGAAATTGCACTCAATTTTTGAAGGCTGCTGACGTTTTCCTGTCCCTCGTCACCAATCCTTCCGTTTTTACCCTTTGCCTGCTGAGGAAGATTTTCCTATGTATATTCCTTTTTTGGTGGAAATGCATTGTAAAAAGGCGTTCACTTGGAAAACGGGCGTGTACAGTGTCCCTTTATTAAAATTATGGTAATAATGGCAGTAGTAAGGTGGAGCACATTAATGTGTCTACCAAGCGATCGAAACTTAGTTCAATTTCCAAAAGTAATGAGATGAAGTTTAACACATATGTATAAGATAATTACAGTACTATCATTATCATTATATTATGGATAATTCTAAAACTATCATTTTATCTTTCAAGTATAAGGTATCAAAATAAGCTTCTCAGGATAAAGGTGCAGGGTACTTCTCAAGTCGGATTTCATTTCGACTACAGAGCTCCTTACTTTGTTGATGTGCCTGACATCTGGTGCCTATCTATGGGTGCATTATGGGTTGGTCCCCCTGTACTTTGTGGCTCATCGGAAGCCCCAGCAGCAGGTGGCTTATATAGGATTTTCGAAGCAGTCTGCTGGCATTATTATTTTCCTGCCTGCAAATGAGATGAGCGTTTCAATTTGGCACTCGGAAAATATATGAATGAGCTGCTTAGTTTACGCCTTTGTGGCCTTGAAATGCGAATGAGGATGGTGCCGCAAGTTTTCCAGTTAACCTAAGTAGCATTAAAATCGCATTTTAATTAAATGAAAGTCAAAAATTGTAACTCTGCGGTCACTTCTTCGGGTGGAATGAGATGGGACTGCCCAACCACAAACTTTATGGCCCTAGGCCAATGCAATTGCTCTAATTATTTTACAGTCGAGCGACAGGCACGTGCTGGTTCCCAGTCTCCGGATGCACGATCCCACTTTCCCTTGGCTTTGTCCCCCACTCGGAAACGGATATTCCTCCCCAGCTGGCTCACGTTCGGCGGAAATGTTTGTCGAAGGGAGCTGGCGAGGATTAGGGAAGCGTGAAATGCAGCTGAATCGCTATTGTCGGGGCATTATAATGCACAAATGTTTGCTCTTGTCTTCGCTAAGTGGGTTCCCCAGCTCAGTAACCAATTTGGAGGACATAGACTCCAGCTATTTTAGCTTCCAGGATATTTTCTAGTTATTGATATCCTGTAGGCGTTTATATAGGAGAGATTTACCCATACATTCTAAGCATTTAATTGCGAAATTCATTTCAGGGATATATAACATTTGGATTACGTGTATAACTTGAGAACCTAAAGGGCGATGAAACAAGTCTAAATCCAGTTCTGCAATTTCCGAGTAATGGGAACGCAAACTCATTTATAATTTTGGAACATTCCATTTGGCCAGGCTTAGCAAGGCCAGTTGTGGAAGTAAACAAAAACATTTCAACTTACTTGCAAATTTAATGAACACAAATGCAGGAGAGCATACAAAAAATGGAAATGGAAGGGCCTTCCACTCGGCTCCCCTTTGGAATAATGACACACAAAACGCATTCGGACGACGCTTAAGTAAACTTGTGGCACTTGCCTCACCAGACACGCCACAATCTTGACTTGTGGGTCAGCCAACAAGTCCCCAAACCAATTCAATAAGAGCAATAGAACCGAAGGACAGGATGCTCGGATTTGGGGCCTTGGACGCCCCTTCGACGGAAAAAAATCAACAAAATTCAATTAATTTAAATGCAGTTTTTTGTGAGCCTGCATCATGTGCTCTGTACACTCTGTATACTCTGTATATAGCGACGAGGCGAGGGGATCACTTTACAATGTAAATCTCAAGAGTGCGATGCCCCATCTGCCGCTTTTTATGCTTTGCATTTTTCTATTTAAGAGATGTTTCGTAGCCGCAAGCGGCGTCAACAAAAAAATGCAAAATCTGCCAAAAAAGATAAAGTCCTTTGAAAGCCAGAAGAGCATAAGAGAGTGGCATAAAATCTCGTCTAAGCCAAACTTAAACTGCACGATAATTACAGAACTGAATTATTTGCCGACCCTAGTTAATTTTTTCTTAGTGAACAACAACTTTAAAGGAAAATCATCTGTAATAAAGCCTAAAATAAATGTTCATGAAAATGAACGCATTCCAGCGGATACTTTTTGCAAAATAAGTTTTCCACCAAAAAATATCGACTCACGCGCTGATTTTTGAAATTTTTAGCTATTCATTTTAGTGAGTTTCAAACATTAGTTTTCGGTTAATTAAGATTTTTTATTTGCAGAAAGTTCCTGAAAATGTTACGTTTTAGGTAATCTGATCTAAGGTAGTTTCTTTAAACAGCTGCTTTGACTTTTCCACATAGTTATATTCTATGCAGTTGCCGTCGTCCAATCAATTTGCCCAGCAAATAGTTTTTGTTATGCTGGTTTACCAAAATCCTCTGGTGGATTATTTGCGGGTGTTGGAGTAAATTTTCCAACCCTAGTCCCTGTGGCCATGTGGTGCTCATGGAAAATTTATGATTCTCTAATGCCCGTTTAAATCAGCGATAATTGCATTTTATTTGCACTCAATGTCGGCAGTCTCCGCCATCTAGTTTTAGTTGTTTCTATTGAAATTGTCATATTTGTGGTTTATTGTGAATTTTTCATTTGTTGGCCCAGTGCGGATGACCACATTTCAATTGATTCTTAATATGTTCATATAATATTTTTTTT